AATTTCGTAATTAATTTTGTAGAAAATTTAAAAAAAAAAGTTGCTAAATCGAAAATTATTTTTGTAAATTAATTTGTAAAATATTCATGGGAAGTTTATTACTTGCACATAAACTATTCATAAACTTACGATCCTATTAAGTTTTCTTTGACGTGTTTGCTAATACCAATGCCTGGAATAAAGCTTTATGCCTCACAAAGTTGAATTAGGGGCCACACTTTTTGCACAACACCACGACGCGTATACTATGAACATATTACGGCCCCATATTTCGTCATAAACTGCGTAGTTCTTTGGACTTTATGCATAGCGGAAGTCCCCTCATAATATATTCCCAAACGGAACGCTCAAAGAGTTATATAACGCTTTCTGAACAGTTATCAACACCGATATGATAATGAAAAGGAATTTTATAATCTTATTTGGAATTAAGAATTCTAATTTAAGCGAAATTAAACACCAAGTTTGAAAACGAATTTATTTTAAGATTTTTGTTTCTTTTTTTGACAAGGAAACGAATAGGAATGTAATTATTAAAACGTAGCTACTCAGAGAGAAAAATAGTATTTGAACTTCCCTAACAATATCCTTTAAGCGCTTAAGTTTTGTATAAAACATTGAGAATTTGTGTATTATGAAGGCAAAACGGTATTCGAGAGAGACTAGGATTCGGCAACTTAAAAACAGTAAACTTTTTTGAGTGCCTGTGCGTCCCAATTTGTCAATAAGCGGATGAATCTACGATTTTTGCTACAATACTTAGGGATTTATATTTCTGTATAAAATCTGTTTGCAGGACGTAATGTTATGCATCTAAACTGTGAATCCAACTCACCTTTCAATTTCTACCCCAACCCGTACAGTACCAAGAATATAATCCAAAACGGCCTGTATCACAATGCCTAAATCCATCAATTTAAACGTGTCTCGAGGAGGAATTCTTTCCTTCCAGCGTCTTTCGTTTTCCGCTAGATCATATCTAAGCGTAAATCCCTAGCCGTAACATCCCTTTTGAAATTGTTATGGACAAAAATCTTTTCAATGGACAACCAAATAAATCAAGAATGGGTTTACCAAATTAACAAACATTTGAACCGCTTCAAAAACCCTGAACTCCGGTGGTATGAGGTTACCACCTGCCTCGAATAAGATTGGATATGCTGATGCGACCGAAATGGACACAAAAAACGAACCACAATGAGAATTGGATGCTGGAATATAAAATCTTTCAATAATAAATATTAAGATATAACATTAGAAATGAACAGACAACACCAAATATGACCACAGTGATCTAGATAGAGATGATAGAGCTCGCTCAGAAATTGGAATGCTGATAGCTGAGTTTTATGCAAAAATTGATATACAGAATGCTATCAGAAGAAATAGCAGCAAATGGAATTTACGAACAACAACAGGGATTCAGAAAAGGGAGAAATTAGACGAAATTTAAATCGTGATGAATGTGTTCAAATTGTAATTTGGTCCAATGAAGGACTAACAAATCGCGAACGCGGTAGATGGTTTGGCGTGAGATTTCTGCAGAGATTTCTAGAGACCAACGATTATGCTAGACGACGTGGCCAAAGCAGGCCACGAGCTACAAATGAGGTGGAGGATCGATTTTTGATACTTCGAGCACTTAGCGAACGTTCCACTACTGCACGAAGTCTCCAAATACAACTAAGCAAGGTTCATGGCACTGCTGTTAGTTAGTAAAGATACCATAGGAAGAAGACTTCGTAATCAAAATTTACGACCTCGGGCAGCCGCTACTGGTCCCAGATAATCTGCAAACCACCGACGAAACAGATTGGCTTTTGCAAGAAGGCAAGTGGATTGGGAAATCCATCATTTCATGGGAGCAGGTGTTATTTATTGATGAGTCACTGTTTTGCCTTGTAAGTTTTGATCGTCCGTCGTCCAAGGCTGTAAAGAAGGCCAAATGAAAGATATTCCACATGTAACATTCGAGAAACTTTATTATACGGAGGTGGTTCAGTGATGGTATGGGGTGGAATATCTTTAACAAATCGCGCGGTACTTTTTATCGTTGATGGTGGACTTCTGAATTCTGAACGATACATAACAGACATTTTAGAACCTTTTGTGATAGCTTTTACACCTTCGACTGGCCACCCTGTAGTCCAGACCTGAACCCAATCGAGCATCTTTGGGACATAATGGGACGGATGATTAGAAGTCAGCATCCACCACCTATCGTAGCGTGAAGTTTTCTTTAGTAATTAGTAATGCCAATCATAGCGTGAAGTTTTCTTTTGAACTGTCAATTAAACCGTGAAGGAATGTTACCTTAGGTTAGTTCTGTTTACAAACATTAATTAATGTTTGTACATACGTTCACAGGCGGTGCTGAAGATATTCCAGACATGTTTCAGACACATTTGTAGCGAAATGTTTCAAATGAAATGTTTCTGCTACATATTTTAATGATATTTCATAAATATTTCTACTGAAATGTATTTGATACATATCTTTAGATACGTTTCGTAAAAATCGTATCTGTCACGTATATGAAACGTAGTTCTAAGATGTTTCATTTAATTCATTGTACTTTAAAATTGAAATGTTTCACAGAGGTTTCTTGTTTACTGGGCTAACAGCTACGACAAAGTCTTATTCGCGTATGGGAAGATATCCCTCAAGAAACCATCAGATCTCTAACTGAAAGTATGCCACGACGATGTCAGGCTACAATAAGAGCCAGAGGTGGTAACACTAGTTACCGATAACCTAAATACGGTTCAAGTTCTTTATGTTCAACAATAATGATTATTTTACATGATTTTGTTTATTTTCAGTTTTCGTTTATTTCCAACAATTCATTTAAGTCAAACTTATTGTTATTATCGAAATAATTCTGTTTATGTACTCTATTCTTAATATGTTTTTCAAAATGTATGATAATTTTGACTTTAATTATAATAAATCGAAATATATAAGTGGTGCGTTAAGGTTGAAATATCTCTGAAATAGCAATAGACACCTGAGAGAAGAAATCGGAACAGAACCCACAAGAGTAGTGGTGTACTCAAAAAGTAAGGTGAGGATCTATAAGACGTTTGTAAATCTTATGATGACATACAACATTGAAACAAGGACGGAAAACATCACAACCAAAAAGCTTCTCAGAACCACAGAAATGAAAGTTCTTCAAGCAACTGGTGGCTACTTTCTGCTAGCTGACCGCATAAGACACGAAGATATCAGGGAAAATGTGCAGGAGTAAGTCGGATAGACACACGCAGACGGAAAGAATGGAGAGATAATGTCGGGAGAATGCCAAAACGCAGATTAACGAAAATCTGAACTACTGAAGCGCCAGAAAACAAAAATCACATAAGACCAAATCTCCTGGAGGTCTCGCTACCAGCATCATCGTTAAAATAAATGTTTTGTAAATACTATATTGTATAATTGGTACAATTAAGATGCGACCGTTTTGAGGATGAAGGAACTTTATGTCGTCGCCTTATTAGAAGACAATACATTGAGATGCATGTAAAAGAAATGCGTTAGGGATGGCCACTAAATCGAAAAACAGCGGAGTTATGCGTTTGTAAGTAGAATGCAAAATCATGGTAGCAAAAAATGGCCACTCATGCGAGTTGTAGCGCTAATTACATCACCACTTCGGGTTCAGTCGAAAGTAAAGCGATGAATTTGCGTCGAAGAGCTGAATGGGGTGAACAACAAGAGAGATCGATTGTTTCGTTGGTAAATCACAGCTCCAATATGACAGGTTCGGGTCACAGTAGTCGAATTGAATGACAGAAAGCACAAAATATATCCTCTTTATCGTTTTAGCCATTACAGTTCATGCAACAATTAATATAATATTGAAAGGGCGCTAAAACGAACTACTCTCGCCACTCCAAACTCCCAATTCAAATAAAATCCTATTTACTCTTGTTCATCACATACACATGCAGCAAAAACGCCAAATATTTCAGTACGCCCATTACTTTTGTAATAAAAATTAATTTGTAATTTTTTTTTTGAATTCATCAAAGACGCTTTTAATGAATTAAATCGTAATATATTGAACAAGGTTATCCATCACATCAGCAGTGCATGATAGAAATTATGAAGGTAAATGGTGGCAAAAATTATTAGCTGCCCCATTTATGATATCAAATTGCTTTGAAATTCAACTTAAAAAAATAGCAATATATTTTAATATTGCTATTTTATCTAATCCATAGATTAAGAAAAAATTTTTTTAATTGTTATTTTGCTGTGAGATTGTTGCCATGAAAGAATCGTTAATGTAGTGACGCATTTTTTATGTCGAACACTATTTATGAAGTATACGGTTTCTGTTCAGCGCAAATTTAGTCGGACATACGGTGATAATCGTCAACGTGGAGTAGTAAATTTGTCAGAAACCATCTACCAGTGAACACAAATAGAAGTGCGAAAAACTGCAACGTTAAGTGTAGTAGTACTTCAACATCGCATGGTGTAATCATTCGTAAAAGTACAAACCACGGTACAAACATCAACCTGCTAAACCACGGCTTATTTTAATTGTTTGAATTAAAATATATTTACAATAAACAAAAATTATTTATTATTTCATAACTTTATAAAGTTTGAGACCTTTTACAATACGGGTGGAAAATAGATCCGATTCGATTAGTAACACCTATTTCGATACCTGTCTATTTATGTTTACCATCGATTGTCTTTTGCCATGTTGGCAAATATTGGTTCCAATTTGCGAATTTTCCGTCGAACAAGGATAATTGGATTTGTGGAAGACGCGTATTCGTTGATGTGTTCGCGGTATTTGCAACCGGTACAACTGAAACTGCAAAAACTATGTTAGCACATAGTTTCTGCGTACAACTGTCGATAGATACAAATTTATTAATGTTAAATTCTTTCAAACAGTCCCTCACCTTTCAAACAATTTTGAAAAATATTTATTAAAAAAGTCAAAAAATTAATTTAATTAGTTATAAAAAATTTATTACCTGTAGGATTAGAAACTAATTCCTTCATAGCAATATGCATCTTCAAATCATATTTATTAAACATCTTCAATAATTTTTTCTGCAACTCTCGTTTGGTATTTTGGAACGCTTTAATATACTCCCTTCGTCCAAAAGAAGTATGTGGTACAACCATACCAACATATAATGGTCGTATTTCATCGATAGCCGTTGGTAACAAGGATGACGACATCGAAAAGAATTCCTCGAACAAAGGCGTGGTTGCGGTCGTGGTACTCCTAAACGTTCTACCACTGACACCGGATCCGACTTTAATTCCAGTTCCGCGAGGTGCGCTCACATTTCTACCATTGACGTGTGTTGTACCGATTTTAAGACCACCACCGCGCTGTATCGTTGTTTCCTTCCAAGCTGGGCCGCCGCTCACCACCGCTGCCACCAAAAGTGTTAAAGAGAACGCGACAAAGTTCATAGTTGCCATCAAACTAATTATTTCTGTGAAGTTGTCTGAACGAAAAGTTTGTAGAAACCGCGAGAATTAATCAGAAAATGCCGCTGTGAAAATTGGTTACGTCGGATATTGCGGTCATCGCCGGTGGTGACGCGAAGTCGCGTGGTTGTTGAAGGCGTCGTGACCTCCCTCTTGTTGCTATCCCGACGCGTCGAATTGTGCAACTGACGTCGGCCGTGCATTGCCGAAATACTACGCCCCCGTCACGTCCAGACTTGCGCACGAGTTAAATATTTTTTTTTGTATTGTGATGGGGCAAAGAAAATTTTAGACAAAGAACAAAGAGCTCATACATTTTTCTTTGCGATAGTTCTGGTCAAACAGTTCTCGAAAAAAAGCTTTTATCTTAACATATATTAACGATGTCTTCATTTTCTCTGTAATATAGAAATTTATATGACAACATTTATTTTTTAAAAGAATACTTTTATTAACAATGAATTTTTGAATATAATGTTAAATATATACAAATAATTGGGAACTCAAGTAATTTAATTAACTAGGTATAGCATATTTTAAGAAAATTTAAACAAAATTTGTTAATAGTTATTTAATATAGTTTTAAGGTAACAAAAGTTTTGAAATATTCAATAATTATTTTGTTAAAAAACTGCTGATTAAAGTATACAAATTCACGTACAAAGCTGTTTGTGAAGGCTTTAGAATTCCCTGGATAGTTAGTTAAGGAATTAAGCAGAGCACTGCATTCACAATTGTAGTACTTTCCAGGAAAAATCATATTACAACTAAATTCAGAAATTAAAAAGAAACCGAAGTAATTTTGTATTCATCGCGTACACTCCAAACACATAAAGGTAACTTTAACAAAAAATGTGCAGTGATCTATTAATGAGGATCTTTTGAAACATGGAAATAAAAAAAAAAAATGTTAAGCTGAAATTTTACAAATGCAAAGAATGCCTAAAATTCATTTATCTACGACTGATTGGATAAGTCATCATTAGCGCATTCATTTGGGGTGATTTGAGTTACGTAATGAAGTTCATTACCGCACTGGTTTCATTCCGTAACGCATTTTTAGCCCAATCAGAACAGACTTAATTTATTGAAACGAGCAAATAGGTAGCACTTATTCTTTTGTATACAAGAATAAGTATATAAGAAAAAGTGCTACCTATTTAAAGAGAAACAATACTATTTATTATAAACATTAATTGTTATGTTTTTACATTTCGAAACACTTATTCCAGATGAGGTCGCTGAATTTTTAGTTGTTATTTCTACAGGTTGGTTGCTGTTGTCCTTACTTCTTGAACGTTGTGCACCTAATATTTTCTGAGCTACTTGTTTTTTATTTTCCAAGGAGGTATCTATATATCCCTCTGCAACGGTGTTGGATTTCCATCCGCCATGTCGTTTAACAGTTAACCGATCCAGTATCCGCCAACAAAGATGTTGATGATCGTCTGAAATAATATAGTATAGTATTCTTCAGGATTTTCTAATTTTAAACATAACGCAATTTTTTTTGGCATACTACCAAAGGTATTATAGGCATTATATATAATTCACGCGAAACATTGGTTTTTGTGTACGGAATGTTAATACAAAATACTTGGCCATCATCCTTAACATCCACTAAAATCAAATCGGCCAGCTCTTGTTTGCGACACGCTCCAGCAATTCCTATAATCAACACAACCTGAAAAAGAATTTTTCCAATATTGAAATAGTTTAAGCAACTTACTTTAGCCAGTAAAAAACTACATCGTCCGCTTCTTTTAGAAATTTTTCTATGTTGGTTTTCCACAATACCTTAGACTTTTTCAGTTTATACATCTTACCTTGTCTTTTTAAAAGAGCGACTAATTGAGTATAATGTCAACATTCTTTTTCATAGATCCATGCTCGTAACATCGAATAAAAAGCCCAAAGACTTGACGATTTATACTTTTTCAAATGTCAAAATAGACATTTTTAAAGAAATAGATTTTTAAGTAATTTTTAGCAGTCGTAGATAAAATGTTGTATATCACACGTGGGTTAGAGCATAATTACAGTACTCGTGTGATTTGTACAGTAATTATGTTTCTAGCCCACTTGTAATATAAACAACTATTATAATACGTCCAGATGATATTGTAATGGAACGAGAACTATTTTCGAAATCCTAATCTAAGGTGCGAATACCAACGTCAATTCGAAAGCGATCTACCGCATGATCTCTTACACACTTTATTATCGATTCTTATATCGTACTCATGGTTTGTTCATCAAGTGGGAGTGTTGTGACCGACTTCCTATTATAGAGCACTTAAAGAAACTGTAGAATATTTGCTGGCAGTTGAGGAAATCTAGCGACAGCGACATTATAAGAACAACACTCCGCATTGCCCATGAACGTTCCTAGACAGACTTCTTGAAATCAGTTATCTTGCGTCAATATTATATGGTTAACGTAGGCATAGAGAATGTAAATGAGAAATGGTAATAGTAATTGTGTTGGTTACTTTTTTCTGAGTGGCCAAATATCGGCCTGGTAACGGGATTACAAAGAAGAAGTATTCTAAAACTAATGATGAAGGAAATAAAAATATAGTTGGGTAGGTAAAATAAAGAAGAGTAGATAAGAAAAATTATAAAGAGAAGGACGAGAAAAAGAGATGTCAACAAGGGTTCAATAGTTTGTGGATCTTGTGGAGACAGGAAATACCACTAAATATTTCATTTCGATCAAGAATATAGAAGAGTGCAAACAGATTTTCTTGGATGGTGTCTTTTGTGCCTGGGAAGAAAAACCTGGAAAGTGAGAATCAGAATTGTTTGAAACTGGTAATGGCAGGAATACAACTATACTTGCAATTATACTACGACGAAAAATGTGTTATTGATTAAAAACATAAATGTTGATAAGCTAAAGAAAATCGGGGATAATAAAATTGTGATCGAGACAAATAAGACATCTTGAGAATCCAAAGAAAATTGATCCAAAAAGTTGTGCGTTCTTGTATGTTGGGTTGAGCAGAGAATCCGAGGAACAAGGAGTTTGTGGAAAGGTCGATGAACTAACAAGTTCATAGCCTCCATTGTGGAACGATATTGTCTTAAATTATACCGTTATGAAGGTTCAAGATTTATTGTCATTGACCAATATGTATGTATGTGGTAAACGCGATGAGTTAACCATTTAAACAAGGAACTTATTATTATTTATTTATTGTTTCATACTGTTGAAGTTTCAAAACCGGCGACTGATGGAAGCAAATTATTTATAATTTAAAGAAGGTGGATTGGGCTATGATTAAGTACTGATCCAGAGTATGCCTTAGATGTCAAAAGGATTGTAAATATGTTTAAGTCTATAATTGTAGTGTGAGATGCAGTACCGAGGAGAAAAATTTTAATTAGGCTAGTCCGATGATCAAAAAAATTATATAAAACAACAACATATAACAATAGGAAAGCAACAAAGATGAGTCATTAAAAAAGGTTCGTAATGGATAACGCAGATGGAGAGTCATAGGAAGTTCTTTATAAACTGATGATATGGAGGCCGGTTGTAGGAAAAACCAATGTTTATTATAAAACGAAATAGGAAGAAACAGAGTGCGTGGAGCAGGGGGAGAAATATAAGTTAATTGTAATGGTCACGGTATGGTAAATGAGTTTACCATGACGTAGCGTACGATTACTATGGAGTTGCTTAGAAGTGGGAAGGTGCCAAGTTCAGATGGTATTCAGCCGAGCAAGTGAAATGGTTCTCAGCAACTTCAGCAATCAAATCATCTACTATTCCTTCAGGCAAATTTAAAAATGGAGTAAAGAAAGTCCGCTTCCAAACCGAAGAAAGACATCTATTAGTAATGAAGCATTAAATAAAAGAGTTAAAGGGAGAAAGAGAGTATGTACTTGATAAAAATGGATGGAATACCATCAGTACCAATACTGTTGGTAATGCTGTTACCCACCAAGGCCTCTTTATCATCAATCTTTTTCAACATAAAACAGGGATCCATCTCCAAATAATTTACACTCTGCGAACAAAACATTTAAATATTTAGGATGAGATTGAATATTGCTTTCGGCACTTTTAACATAATCCATATTATCGCGATGGATAAGATACTTTGCATGACGCCTCTGAATACATTCTGCTACATGAAACCAAGCAGTAAACTTTTTGGAGACTTCGCGTTTTTAAGGAACGAATTCGCTATCATAACGAAACTACTAGGAAAGTTGTTCGAGCAGCAAAATTAAAGAGTGAAGTCCATACTGTTTTTGGGAAGAAAATCACTGAAATAACGTCAATCATTGGCGGCAACGTCATTGAAAACAATTCACAAATCGTGTAAGAAAACTAAAACAAGTAAACCAGGATTAAGGTTGCGTACAGAATGAGCTTAAGAAAACGTCTTCATAAAATAAATTTCGAGAAGACAAAAATATTTTCCAAGAACAACCCCTATGCTGGGTCAAGGGCAGACACAAACAAGACGAAGCTAATATTGAGAACGACTGAGATTCGAACGCTAATATCTACTTTAGCGCAAAGATTATCAAAAGACGTCAAAGTATAGCAAAGACCATCGGGAAGACCCCTAAACGATGGCTTGACACGTAGACATCACAAGAACAGATAGAAGAAAGATGCAACATTGTTTTATGACAGAAAGAAGGTTCTAAGAGGTGTTAAAAAATAAGTAAGCTTGAAATCATTGAGTGAATCTTTCTACGATTATGATGTTTTAAATTTAGGCTTTGGTGTCAACAGAGATTTTTGGTAGTCTGCAGTTTAGACATGTTTCTGCCTAAGAAAATATATGCATTAATGCGAGATCAAAAGTACTTGGTGTCTACTTGATGAGCTCTTCTAAAATTATTGAAAAAAATTATAGAGTGGTGAAGCATTAACGAAAAGTAAAAAGTGAAAATCTTATGTGTGGATATCTTTAGAGATTCTAAACCTTGTGTAGTATTTCGTAGTATTCCAATTAACCTGAGGAAAATAAAAAAACTTTTATTCCAAAAATATGGAAAGAAGACCGACAATATACAAAAACTTTTTGGCGTATTAGTTTTTCAGGTTTCATTTCAAAGCGATTATGTACTCGTTACATTAAAAGAAATGCACTTCACGCAGTGTTTTAGTAGCTATGAACTGGAATTTTTACTTAACATATAGAAGATTCAGCGACGATTTGCCAATCCCTGGAAGCAATTGGAAAAATTTGCACCCAAGACTGAATACTGCATAAAATACAACTTCTTATCAGCCTTGATACTACTGTTTTGGCTAACATCAATGGCTAATTAGTAGTTATAAATGTATAATTAACTTAATCCGATACACAGCTTTAATAAAATTAGTATAATTCCTGTCCTAATTCTCCACAACCGCATTACACTCAAAGGTTAGAGGTCATATCTAAACAAGAACCATGTAGGAGTTTATCATAATAAATTTGTTTTAAAACTTTGAGATTAAGTTATTATTAAATCGATTACCTACAAACCTGTGCGGGAAAAATAAATTTAAAACGTTAGCCCCTGCGGCTGAAATCAGACAGGTGAAGCGGTTTGGCAAATCGAAGGTCGAAACCACCAATAAATCCTCGAAATTGAATCCTCTAAAATTCCCCCACAAGAAGATTAGTAAACCTGACATAAACAAAAGTATACGTGATTTGTTTCACATTTTAATTATTTTATGAGGTTATGTGTAATTTTAAAATGTAATCTTTTAATGGAATTTAAATAATTTAATTTCAGAATATTCTTATCTGCAAATGTTGCAAATAAAATTCAGATATTCACCATGTAAAATTCGCAATTTGCGACCAACGCAACACATTTTCGATTAAAAACGGTTTGAATAATTAATTTACGATCGGTTACATTAAATACGGTACTAAAATTACTTTAACCGTGATTTTAAAATAATATTTATTGTAGGAATTATTGGAGGTTTTAAATTTTTTATGAAAACAGTATGTTGTTCAAAAATTACTATATTGAATAAAATTGTAAGCAGTCTTGAGTTATTAGTGACAAATAGAATTTCCTCTAAATTGATATTAATGTCATGTTCTCGTGATTGGCATTAAAGGACCGAGTGAGGTCATGCATTTTGATTATAGCTGACAGTAACAACACCTTGATTTCGATCAAATTCGTCAATTACTACGTCATTCCAACATTCTAATCTCGAGAGAACCACATCATTTAACATATTATATCGCACGTACGCGTATAAGCTAAGGTATTGCCATAATCGACTGTGTTTATTACCATAATAAGTTCATGGAGTACTAAAACCAGTTGTAATCGTAGTTGTAATACACGTAGTAATAGTTCTCGGTTTGATGATAATGAGATTCTCGAATTTGATTGGGTTCGTTACAATTTACGATTTGGCGTTGCTTCGAGAAAACATAAAACGATATCGATCATCGATTAATCAGAAAATGGCAATTGTCAATCGTTTAAATTAAAAGGAACGTTACGAAAATCGTGGATATAAATGACCGTTCTCTTACAAAGCTGCTTACTTCGCATCATTGCGCTTCTTATAGATGCCGTAAGGCAGATCTCGGCGGACACAAATGGGTTGGCATTTCTCACGTCGATCTTGAAAGGATAAATCGAAGAGAAATGCTTTTCCCCATTAACCTTTCTTTCCCGATTAATGATGAAACAGGTAAAAACATTTTCAATCAATTTAGTATTAATTAAGTTTTACGTATATTACTGCAATTGAACCTACATTACATGATGGAATCATAATTGGAGATGGCGCAGTCGGAATTGCAGTATTTTCCGAATTATCTCGTACCAAAACCGACGTTTTATTTCTTGTAACTGAAAATCGAATTGGAGGTCGAATAAACACCATAAATTTCGGGGAAAGTGCCATCGATTTGGGAACCGAACGGGCGCATAAAAACGCACTCAAATTTCAGCTTTTCAGAGTCGCCGCTGACCTTGGCTTATTAGAAGAAACTACATATTCGGATATTATTTATCTCTACTCCAATCGAAAAGAATTCCCGACAGAATTAATTAATAAATTAGAAGAAATCGGAACGGCTATGTAAGATTATACTGATATGCGAAAAGGAATTACTTCAGCCGAATTTGCAAAGAAAAACTCGCTGAATTAACCGCTGGTTTAACGATACCGAAAGAGTTTCCCGATGTATTAGAAGACATGTTGGAACATCTTAAACGCCATTTTTTGTATGGAGATGGCACATTGGATTGGAATCTACCCTCAGCTCGATACGATAACATCGACATTGAGAATGAGGAATATAATTGGAAAACGAAAGGTTTTCTTCGAATACAAGCACGATTGTTTTAATATGCCTTGATGTATACGAACTGCTTTGGGAGAAAACCATGCGAAAATCTATAAACAGTTTTAAAATGGACGATGATTATGTTTGGATTACCGACTTATTATCGATTGTCTCGGTCGAATATAACCGGCGTAACAGTACCTTTTATTGAAACATTAAAGGATAAAACATTAATGGACACATCCAATTTGCGTTAAATCAATTTTTCGGTCATAAATGATATTGCAAAACCGATTGGAATGATAAGGTAAATTAGATTATGGTAAATTCGAATGTATTTGGTCGAAATGGTACACCAATGAAAACTTTTTGGGTTCATATTCGTTTCAAACCATTTAGTCTAGAAAATGGAAAAGCCATAAAGATTTGGAGAAATCTTTAAAGAATCAAAACGGGAAAAATGTAATATTTTTCGCTGGTGAAGCGACTTATCCAATTCATTATGGTTCGGTCCATGGTGCCATTCATACAGGGTTTAGAGAAGCAGAAAAGGGCAAAAAATGATTAAATTGATGAAATGTGTTTTATATCGTATTGTAAAATAAATTGGGGTTAATGTTTAACGATAAATACATAATATTAATTATTAAACTATTATCTAATGACCAGAAAGGAGCGAGAAGGGAATTTGGTCATAGAAGTGCCTACAATAATTTCAAAATTCATTATTAGGCACTATTTGAAAATTTATAACAGTCAGCAGACATATTGTCTAATAGCATAATCAAAAATAGATGGTGGACTCCAGAATTAATCAAACGAACCAGAAAAGATGGAAAAAGCATTAAAATTATGCTATATGAAATGACATAGGAAAATTAATGATGAAAGATAATGATAAAGGCAATTAAAAAAAGAAAAACAAACGAAGACAATATACACGAAAAGGTATATTGATAAAGTAGGCAAAGATAATGATAGAGACAATAAAAATACGGCAGACAATTTGGATACAAAAAACATTATGTCTATCATATAGCTAATACAACAGATTCTCATATTTTAGAAATTTTCATACACATTCTTGCCGCCTTTGACTCGGTATGGTGACCGACTTAATTGAAGAGACTGCGGGTTGGTGAGATAACCCCAAACACACATGTATGAGCTTGATAACTTCGGAGACAGAGTTAGCTCCACATAAAGCAGTGTAGAAGTGGTGAGAGAGAGAAAGTCATAAAGATCTGCCTTTAACGTTGAGCATTTGTGCCCAATTCTGTAACCTTATGAGGAAAAACCAAAATAGCCGCATAGTCAGAACATGGCCAAGGATGGAGGAGGAAACTTTGGGAAACTACGTAGAGGGTTGTAGCACCAAAGATGATGATGTTTATGATAATGCTAGTTTTAATAGATAGGCCGTTTTCAATAAAAAATTTCTACAATAATTTATTAAACCATAACAATTTCTCTATTGACTGGGTAGATTAATGATATTAATCCACTCCGTCACAGTGATTGACCTCATTGACCTGCAACAACAGTGATTCTCCATCTCATTGACCTGCAACAACTTCTGGATGTTCTCGATGAATCACTAGGTTTGAATGAATTGCTGTTATGTGTTTTGGCACCTACAATTGGTGATGTCTTCTAGTAAAGACAACCGCAGCTAAGATGACCTCAAAAAGAGCTGTGGCGATTACCTTGAAAATCGACTAGAATATAATCAAACAAGAAAAACTTCTTGGCGTCGTTAAATACATCCGCAGCTTTCATTAACATTCCTTACTATAAAATCTCTCCTGTTCAATGCTTCAGCACTACCAGCTATCTTCTTTTACAGAAAATTTTCTCTTTAATTTTCCAAGTAATTTCGTTTGGATTGCTCGCAACACTTCATAAAAAACACCAACCTCATACTGAATAAACATAACCCAAGTCTTTACTATCGAAAAAACTGTATCCAAAAACTGCCGCAACATATTAAGGGTGAAATATTATTATGGGTACCTTCACAGTCTCTGCGACCATCTAGGTGGGTAGAAGATCTAAGCCAAAGGTTTTAATACGAAGCAAGTTTATTTCCATGTGAGAACTTTTTCACGAAACAGATCGGATGATGAGATTTTTTTGATGAGACGTAAGCTACGCGAACCCAACAGAAAGTGAAGCTACAATTCTCTACTACAATTCAGAAGATGGAATGTCCATCGAGACGCCGCGATCTGCATTTACCGGCATGATGAAACAATGTCATTCGTAGAATCAACCCTAACATATGACGGAAAGGGTAGCCCTTCTATATGATAGGATCCGCACATGTGGCAACGGAGGCGTTTACTGTGATATCCAAGTTCCTTGGGAGGATTACACAACCTTGAACTAAACCTGGAAAACAAGAGGATGATGCATTCCTGTAGGATTGCATCATCCTCTAGAATGCACCTATCTAGGAATAGAGTTTTTTGCCCTAACACCAACGACCGCCACAAATGTCTGCGGCATTCATTGACCACATTGTGCACATGTGAGTGAGTATGCACACTAACTAAAGTATCATTAAATTAAAAGTCTCTCTGTCCCTTTCTTCATTTCTAGTCAATGGTTTGGCAGAGCTTGTTGCGATAGATAGTGTCAGTTTAAGCACTTTTCACAAACTGATTTTTCCTTGTGGTCCATCATCGTTTGCTGCTTCGTCATTCCTACTTCTGCTTCTCCTGTGATACTGAAGTACAGCTGTGTTTTCATCGCTTTGAAGGTCTTCCTATCGGTCTCTTTGTGTATGTTTGGCTAATCCATTCTTGATACATGTTCATTCCATTCTTTTCGTCTCTACCGGATCCATTTGACGATATCCATGATATTAGATTTTTCTCTGTTTCTCTTACGATCCATTGGAGTATATCCGGATATTGTGCGTAGCGTTTTAATTTCGATTGTTTGTCTCAGCTGTGTCGGCTCTTTGATTCGTCGCATACGTAAGTACGCTCCTTACGCATGGCTTGTAGATTTGGACATGCTTGCGATTGATAGATGTTTATTCCTCCATATTGGGTTGCAAAGTGCACCCGATATTCTTGTTGCTTTTATAGCTTTAGCCTTTAGATCTCCACATGCCTTATTTGGTACTCCGAGACTATCGAATTGAAATACCTGCCTTTATAGTACAAGTTTGCATCTAATGGGTGATTTTGCGATAACCATGCTTTCGTTTTATTGGTCGCGATCTTCATGTTTACCTCGTCACATACTTCGTTGAATGCGTTTAGAAGCTTTTGTAGCTTTTATAGTTGTCTGCTTAGCACACAATCTGTATTGTTGTTTTACCCAGTGGATATCCGCCATTTACTTCATCTAGGTATATTTCAATAAAATAGCACTCAATTTTTACAATGACTTTTCTGGGAGGTTTCATATACATATACCCTTAACTTTTATTTTGTGGGTTATACTTCCTAAGTCGAAATAAGCTTTTTAAACTCCCGTTCAATATATAACTTTTAAATTTCGCTACATATATCTTAAGTTGGGTACATATTAAATTTTATTATATTACATCATATTATTCCTGTTAAGATTTATAGCTAAAGCAGTCTATGGAAGTACCTTGCTTCCGATTCATAAAATATTTAATAACTACGGTTACAGCCAACGCGATATTTTATTCATATGTATAATGGATTTCCCCGTTGAGGAAATACGTTTAAAAATCATGTCAGATATATGGTAATGCCTTAAAGTTATCCTCAAGCTACATCTTCCCCACTTGTCCTTTAAGATGGTTTTAAAAAATCTGTAACAAAACACCAGACTGTCATCGTTGTCCCAAAAAAGACGTTAATAAAATAAATAAGAAACTTTTATTTAATATTTGATTGATTTTACTTTAATATTTAACATCATAAACAGGGGCGAATTGTATTAATTGGTATCTAGGTTACGAAATTGTGTGAAATTTATAGAGAGTGACGTAACACTTTGTGTGATCCGTCTAAATCTATCAACACGGTCAACACCTGTCCGTCAACGGGAGAACGCCATGCCGCGAAATAATGGTCCAATCGAGCAGATCTCAATGCCACAAATGGTGGATACGTCGGCTTTCCGCCAGTTCATCGACCTGGAAAATAACTCCAAATATTACATGATGCTCCTTAATGTTCGAGAAGCCGAACTCGAAAGGCAAGTTAATCCCAAAAAATATCTTAACAAATTTTTTTAATGATTGATTATTTCTTGTAACGTTGAAAAAAAAGAATTTAAATTGAAAGTAAAACCAAACCTAGTTAGATAGATCAGTTTGTTACTGAGAGCACTCCACCTAACAAGCAATCGACAAAACAAACCTTTCCGATTTAATTGATCCTGAACGGAACGAGTTTGATCCGAACTGATCCAATTATTTTTGTTATGTTGTACATGAATGTTCATCTAAGAAATCAATATTTTAAGAAATCAATATTTACTATAAGTGTTTTTAATTATTAACAGGTTGACGAAAGCATATGAAGACGTCCAGGTTACATTAAAATGTTGTTTAACGACAAATTCAAAATTAAAAGATCGTATAAAACTGCTCGAAGAAATGTCAACAGTATCCGCTAACAAACACCAGAAAGAAATCGAATCTTACAAGAAACAAATAAACAATAACAGTAAAAATATAGCGGATGTTAAATTGGACAATGAAGAACGTTTTCGTGAACTCGAAAGTGAATATAAAAGGGAAATACTTGAAAACGAAAAAAATTACGTCGATAAATTAAATAAACAAGAAATGGAATTCGACAAAAAATATAACGAAATAATGGTAAAATATCAACGGGAAGTAGTTCTGGTAAGATAACAATTTAAAATTTTTGAACGAAATTATCCTTTTATTTTTAGAATTCTAAATTAAAAAATGATTTGCAAACTTTAATGAACGTGAACGTAGTATTAAAAAGTAAAGTTCATCAAGTTCAATCTAAACATTCCGTTGAAACATCATCGTTGGAATCGGAAGTGAGTTTACTAAAAGATTACAATGATATTATCAAAGGGGACGTGGCGATTTTAAAATCCCGTTTAGACGGGGTATTAGATGAAAATGAAAAATTAAAACACATCGTAATCGAATGTCGAGACGAAATCAAACAAGATTCTATACGTTTCGAACAATTTAAACGTACGAATAACAAACTCAATCACGAATTGAATTTGTGCAAAAAACGAAATAAACGGATTAAATTCAAATTCGAGGATGAAGTTATGGCTAAAGCGAATATGAAGAATGAAATTGAAAAATTAAAGGTATTTGAGAATTGATATTATACCGACATCTATTGAGTAATGTTTTAAATTTAAACCGGAAGGAAATTAAAGGAATCGTATTGTGGAATTATAAAGAAATTTCCTTTTTTTCTAGATTTTGGTAAATGCGAACCAAGCTCATGAACAATGTAATATTCCTGAACATGATAACTTTAATAATATAAAACGGCAAAACGAGGTGTTGCAAAAACTTGTAAAGAACATGAGGAGGGAGAGGAACAGCAGGGAAAGTGAGGATCTTCGTCAAGCAGAAGATCGCATCGAAAAGTTGGAAGATACGATTGAAAATTTTAAAAGGACCGATTTATTCGGTTACGTTTCGATGCATAATCAGGGTGCTTAGGAAAATAATGATAAAATTGTCTGTTGGGTTATTTCGGGAGTGTAGAATACCCTATCGCGAATAGTTTGTTAATTATTTTATTCGTGCGTATTGTGTTTGATGAAGGTGGTGTGTTCATAAATTGTGCATATTTTCTAATGAAATTAAATAATTTTTACTAATTTTTCTGTTTTTATATTTGCCAATATCAATGTTAATTTTTATACGAGCCAACATATACAAAATATTTTATAAAATCCAATTGTAATGTTTATCATAAAAAATTACCAAAGTTTATAATAACAGTGACATCATACAAAGTTTTTTCTGTAAATTCGCATAATCTTCCATTCGATATAAGCTTATGAAAAGTCTTCCACGCCCTAACTCTTAGTATTCCACATCGAACTCTCTCCATTAGCCAAATCTCCCCGTCAGCTCACATAGATCACTCAGTCTTCCAGATATGGAGTTCTTCTGCTTTAACCCAATTATCCCGTCTTTAAGCATCTTTATACACTGTTGGAAATAATTCACGAGCACACCCTGTATAATCTGAACGCGTGTGTCTAGCGTAATAAAATTTGGTACGGAAGTAGTACTAAAGTAGTGTAACTTACTCTTACATGGAGAGCGGCACAACTCTGCTGGGAGGAGAAACATCAAGAGCGAGAGTATCCCCCGTGAGCTTCGCGTACCATCGCTACACGACGTGGCATGGAGTCAATAAGTCGCTGTATTGTAGCAAGAGGGATGGCCAACCATGCCACCTCAACTCGCCTCCATAGCTCCTCAACGTTAGCCGAGGAAGCCGGATAACGTAGAAGTCTCCGACCAGTCATTTCCCAAACATGTTTGATCGGATTCAGATGCGGAAACCGAGCTAGCCATGGAAGCATTCGTATACGGTGCTATTCCACAAAGGTCTGTACAACACGCCCGATGTGCTGTCCTACGTTGTCGTGCATGTATAGCAGACCTGGGAGCCGCCGAACGTAGGGAAGCACAACGGACGGTAGCACCTCATCTACGTATCGTTGACCCGTCATGGTCTGCTATACACGCAGCAGACGTGTACGTCCACCATGTGTAATAGCACCCCAAACCATAATGCTCGGTTGTCGGTGGATAGGGCATTCTTGCACGCACTGCTCGAGTAGACGATCACCACGTCTCCGACGAACTAAAATTCGCGCATCACCGATGCTCAATTCGAATCTTGATTCGTCGGAAAACAAAATGTCCCTCTACTCGGCAACCCACTAATGCCTAGCGTTGACCCATTCGTGACGTATGCTGCGGTGCTCGGATGTTACTGGAATCCGCTGTTTCGCACGACGCACGCGCAGTCCACTATCTACCAAACGCCGCCGTACAGTTCGCGTAGTGAGTGCACCTTCCCCTGCCGGTGGCCAAACAGCTCCAAGTTGCCTTGAGGAGGACTCACACAACGCTAAAGCGCTGAGCACAAGAGCGCGATCCTCGTGTGCTGGGGTCACGCAGAGCCCTCCCGGTCGCGGCTGAAGGTACCTACGTCCTACCTCAGACCATTCTCGCCATACCCGTTGCACTGCCGATAACGACCGGTCGAGACGACGCGCAATTTCACGGAACGATACACCCTCAATGTGCATACCCTCAAACATTCCTCGCTCAAACTCGCTTAAGTAACGCGATCGCCCATCCATTGCGCACAGAGTACGATAACAATGTGGTTCCTCACACCACACTAAAAACGACCGGTATTTTCCATCCACTTCGGTCTCCATAGCGACGGAATGTTCCACTTGGAAGAGCGACTCAGTCAACAATGCCGCGACGGAACAACTCGAAACTCGATGAATAAACTCGTCTACAGTAAACCTTTGTGCTCCGCAAATATCATGGATTTATCTTCACGCGTTCAGATTATATAGGGTGTGCTCGTGAATTATGTCCAACAGTGTATCTTATCGTAGAAACTACCTCTCGCCTCCAACTTCCATTTCCAGTTCTTCTCCATCAGTTTCCTGTCCCTCACAACTCTTCCTCAATTCCTTCCTGTCTTCCCCGCTCATCGTCAAAGAGTAACCGGTCATTTCCGTTCAAACTCCCCGTCTCTCTTTCCACTTCTTCCATTATGTTCTTCCACCATCTTCCATTATTTACAGCCATCCTCCATCTGTTCGGCCAGATCTGTTATTAACTTTCTAAAAACATACACTCTCTTCCTTCTATCTCTTTCCCATCTCTGTTAAAATCTCTCTTTCTTGCTCATGCCAGTTTTACCACTATTGCAAATGTATCTCAAATTTCTGTAAACAATTTCATTTCCCACCCATTTTTCCTCCCACACCAAACTTAACTCCACATCTAGATCTTCTCAGTCAGTTTCCGCCACGTTTCCTTGCCTTACCTTATCCAACTCTACAAGGTCCTGAAGATATTGTTATCGCTTTCTACCATGTTCTTCTGCCTCCAAACCTAAGTGCCTTGTGGTTTCATCAAAAAATTGAAAACTCGAAATATCACGTTGAAAAATTTGTCATGTATGACGATTCCCGAAAAAAATATTAGCTTTGCAATGTTTGAGTTATTCTTCTTCCTTCTGTATTTAGACAGAAGATTTTTGTCCCCTAATCGTTTGGAAGGTTGTCGTTCCATCTTTTGCTAGGTCTTTCAATGCTTCTTGGTCCTGATGATGATTTGTCCCGTGTTATTTTCACAATTCATTCTTCTGTCATTCGGTCGATGTGCTCATTGCATTTCTTCTTTCTGTCCAATATCCAATCATTGATTTCTTTCTCTGCCCATCAATGTTTTCCCAAGTATTCTACGCACTATTTTCATTTCTGTAGTTCCTAGCATTCTTTTTGTTTTGGATGTTTTTGGTCGAGTCTCTGCTGCCTATGTTAATATAGGTCTAATTGCGGTTTTGTATATCCGGGCTTTGGCTGCAGTTCTAATATGTTTATTTCGCCATATTGTGTCATTTAAGTACGCCGCTGTCGTTGCCACTGATATCGTTGATATCATTGCCTGTCGAATCCTGATATTTCAATGCCCAAATATTTGAATTTTATTTATTGGTGTATGACAGTGATGTCCATAACGTCGATCGCGAAGCCATTTTGAGTCGATCGCCAACAAAATCATAAATCTGAAATAAATACTTCAGATTAAGACTTTTTAAATTATACATAGAAGAAAGCGGCCACGAAGGATGTACTGAACTTGTGAGGCATTGAAAGATACTCATTTAGAATCTTGTTTGGGAAATACCATAAGTAATTACATTCCCAACTTTAAAAAAAATTATTATTAAAACTTAAAATATTAATAAATGAGTTAAATAAAATGATTTTTTATTTCATATTTTCTTCATTGAAAAGATGTAATATTATTATAAGCAGGTAGGTATCGCACCTTTAGAAATAAAGTGGCACAACTCAAAAATTGAATATTTTTAATAACAATAACATCAATTGCCGCTTGTTTACCTATAAACACTATTATTTGAGTTGAGTCACTTCAGTGATAATTATTATGTTAATTCTAGTTTGACACTTGCACTGTCACTAGAACTAACATTACACCTAGAACTTCTTGGTCTAACACTGCATAACAATTAAAACTAGAACTAACAGTAGACCTAGAAGTAGAAAGTTTCGAGTTTAGCCGTGCGTCTTCAGAATGTCTCTAGTTCTAGGTCTAGTGTTAGTTCCAGTTTTAGACTAGCACTGTTACTATGTAGAACTAAGACTTTACCTAGAACTACAATCATTTGGATTTAGCCGCACGTCTTAAAGACGGTTAATCCCGAATGATTCTAGTTTTAGGTTCAGTGTTAATTCTAGTTTTACACTTGCACCGTCACTAGAACTAACATTAGACCTAAAACTAGAAACATTTGGGTAAGTATTTGGGTATAAAAGTTAAGTTTGGAAAGTATGGGATTAAAAAATAATGTAATAGTCGGGAGTCGTTTTGTGAAATTTAGGAAAACGATAGATATGGTGAAATGTTGCATTTTGTGCTATTAAAGAAATGAACCATAACATAGCAAACATCAAAAATATGTTGTAGAATTAATATAATTAATAAATCGGTACAAAATTCTCTGTAACCACAATACAAATAGCACATTACAACGAATAGAAAATGTTCAAGTACATAAAGTAATTAAAAAAATGTAAAAGAAAAATAATTAAGGAAATTAAAAAAGACGACACCGACATAAATAGAAAGATGATGAAATCGTTGTGACAATACATAAAGGTGATAATAATAATTATACATATAATAATTACAATTACAATAGTCATGGGTGACAACAATTATTTAGAATAGGGAATGTTTAAAAACAAAATTAATATAATTGGGTATATAAATATACATGTACAATAATAAATTGTTTTTCTGGGATAAAAAAATTGTTGTTTTAATATAAATTCTACAATTAATCTTTACGAAATTTTATGTAAATATTTTTGCATGATTAGACAATTATCCAGATTAATTACCATCGTGAAAAAAATAAAATTATAGAAAAAAATTGTGTGTATAAAAAGTAAATAGAGAAAGAATCACTAAATACAATGTACACTGAATCAAAAAAATAATAAAAAATAAAATAGAAAAAATCGCACGATATACATCGTGTTATATCATTGCCTAATAATTAATATTTATTCCTCATCCGTCTCGATATCGATATTGAGTTCGTTGGTGCTGCTATGAGTTTTGCGATTGCTGCACAACTCTCCTACCCCAATAAGCTTCCAGATCAAATGGTTCGAAATTTCTCAAATGATGATTCTCTTGTTCACGATAATAAACAGCAGTTTTATCAAGTTCTTGTGAAACTTGATTCCAGGAGTCATGTATGTATCTGATTAGATCTTCATGTTGAGCACAGGTGGGTCTTTCTACTGATGATTGGACACGTTGTGATGTTTGTGGTCTACTGCTGGTGGTGTTACGGCCATTCCCATTCATTTGGGACATGTTCATACGAGGACCACTAAAAACATTCCTTGTAAATGATTAAATTATAATAAATATATTGTAATGGTTTTAAAAATTATCTAATAATAATAATGTTGAAAAAAATAAATTAATATTTTATAAAAAATATTTTTGAGGTTAAGTTGAGGCTAAAACAAATGCAAATTTGCATTCTGACATTTGACAGTTTATTGTTAAATTTGCAATAATATAAGTATGTAATTAAGAAGTATTATTTTATTAGAAAGATATTCAATATACTTTTGAAATCGAATTATCTCCTAATGTTTTGAAAAAGGAAATATTTACATTTATCATGTATAAAACCCATTTTAAAGTAGGTCAACTACAACAGAAACAAAGTATGGTTTTTAATTGTAACGTAAAACACAGTAATATGTAAGTATAATAATCTATAAATATTATTAAAAATTGTAGAAAGCGAAACGTTGTAATTATCAAAGAGAAGGGAGTTTATTGTTTAATCAATTTAGAATAAAAACTCACCTCATGGTTATAATTGAAGTTTTTGTAAGATTTCCGTTTAGAGAAGCGAATTAGTTTAACAAACGTGGTTGAAATGTGCACGTTTTCTAACGCTTGAACAACGAAAACTTAAATAAACTTGAAGTAAACACAAACAAACCCTATGTTTTTATCGGACGCCATCTTAAATGTCAGTTGAATTATTGAAAAGCGCGCGAAACTAACGATGATTTAAATTTTCTCTCGTTATCTTGGAATTCACTTTTTCGCTGAATCGAATTTTATTGTTTCGCGGAATTATGTTTATTACTTTGATATACGTAAAGCGATAAAGCTATTTTAAACTTTTATTGTTATTATGTGGATTATTGTTGTATTTTTTGAATGAAACGTTTATCTTATCAAAATATTGATAAGAACATTTTATTGATTTGCTATTGTATTATATTGATTGATATGAAGTTCAAGTTGTACTTCCGCTGGTGAATATATTCAATTAGGGTACCATCATGATCCCTTGTCATGCAATATAGACATAGCTCGCTAATAATAAATATCTCTTATCTAAGATATCTTGTAGATAAATTATTCTTGTAAATGAATTGCAACAATGACGAATGAATCGATTTTTACTTTCTCACATACACAAAGAATATACACCTTGCACTGGAACCTCGAAGAGTCCATTGGCCATCGCGGGCTGGATAAAAACAATGCTAGCAAGCAGAATTGTTCAAGTTAAGGCGAAAGGTCACACAGTACAGAGAGTTGTGAGAGGCTGCCCACAAGTTGGAGTACTCTCACCGCTTCTCTGTGCATAACGGTTGATGATCTCATTCGTGAGTTAAATAATAAACATCTCTTCACAGCCGGCTACGCCGATAACGTGGCTATTCTGTTAATAATAAAAAGTTTAAGAGATATCTCCTTAAACTTTTTATTTTTGTTTTTTGTATAATAATTAGTTGGCGTGCCATAGCACGCTACAAGGGGTAAATCTAACAATATTCTTTGTTATAGAATGCAGCAGGTGTTTAAACTTGTTGAACGATGCTGTGAAGAGCACACTCTCTCTGTAAATCCTAAAAGACTGAGATTGTTCTCTTCACCATACAGAGGAAACTGGGACACTTAACACCACCCATTTCTGCAACAGTTCATTAAACTTTACTCCAGATTTGAAATATCTTGGTATTATCTTGGACAAAGGACTGACTTGGAAATCACACATTAGTTGGGACTAATGGGACTACATGGGGATTAAATCCATGAGTTACAACGGAACCATAGTTTGGTGCTCAGCACTAAAACATGCCTGTTAATTATGGGTGCCATGAGATTGACACCCACGATCGTGCTGGAGACTATGCTGACTGTGCTACCCCTAGATATTTTTATCAGATAGGTATCTCTGTTCAACAATTCCGTGATGTACCTACTCTTACTTGAATTATTATTATTTTTTTATTTTTATTTAAAAGTTCGTTAAAACTGTTCAAAATATGTCAGAATTTATAAAGACATTATAATTTATACAGTATGTGTTATGCATAAAAACGAATAAAATGCAATGTATTTGTTTTTCGAGTCAAATCAAGAAATGATTCTGAGTTTAAAAACCCTACTCAACATATTTTTATATTTATATATATTATATTTTCCGCTCCTTTTTGTGTAATAAATTTAACTGTACCTAATTTGTGTTGGTTTGTCGGGAACTTTGTGTAATTTCTCTTCTTAATGAAAGTAGTGTGTTAGTGGTGTAGTTAAATAGAAACAATAAGCAATTAGACAGAAATATCATTTTTTTGCTCTTGTGCATATTTTGGAAAGACTAACGTTTTGATTGCAACGTTTTATGATTATATGGCGAAATGACTGTACCGATAACTGTTTGACTTTTACTATAACTAATTGTCCACATCTACACTTTGTAACCATAGCGAATATAACCTTGCTTTTGATAAACTACAAAGTTCTTGTTCAGATTGTCAAATAAAGATCTTAATACAGCTAATCTATCGCTTTTAGAATAAATTCATATCTGTCTCTTGATAAGGCGCTTGTAATAAGCTAACTTCATGTATAACCGAAAGTTTCCCAAAACATGCGCTTTGACTACTTTGCTAAATAAACATATCAATGATATCATCAAAAATTTGCATAAGTTGCTGTAGCAGAGATCGTGTTTACATCATAAAATGTCAGCCTCTCATATTCTTCCTTTATTACCATTGTCTTATTCACCATTTTCTTGATTAGTCCTAATTGCCCTCACTTTGCAGCACTGCCGCCTAATGTTCGCGAATTTTCCACAAACAAAAAGCGAATGTTCCTCCAAAAATCCCGTGCCAACTTAAAACATGCGTCAGAAAGTGACCCACCTCGCCTCAATCTCTCGACTCCCATTATTTTTACATCTGGAATAAGTTTTGTTATTCATTCTTCACGTTGCTTCATTTCTTCTTCCAATTTTATTCTAATTTATGTTGGGTGTTTTTTTCCTTTCTTATATTATATTTCTCCGTTCTCCCTTCTATTAACAGATCCATAGGCGGCATTCCCGCTATAACCTACGACTTTTGGCATCACCGTTGACAAAACATTTGCCATTAACGAAGTCTATTTCACAACTTCCGAGACATGTCCCATCATTTTCATATCACGATCTAGATACACGCCTAAGTAGTTGACAGCATCGGTGCCGGTTACAATCGTGCCGTCGTCCTCCAGGTTCATGTCATGCAATAGTCTCCTACCCTGAAGTATTATCACTTCCGTCTTGTGGACCTGAACCTATTTCCTTCAATGTCAGTATGATTGTATTAACGACGTACATATGACGTTCTATCTTCCAGTTGTGTCGCGTACGTACTCTTAACCACAACAGCTAGATCATCCGCGTATGCTCCGTACGTCCTTATCATAACATATATTCCATAGTAATGGGGTGTAAGATAACACGTCACTTCGTATGTTGTATTATTTGCCAATACTATGCAAATAAGATCTTATCATTTTAAGAAGTATTGGCTGATGTTGCCTTTTATCAAAAGACCCGCCGCTATGTTTGGCCAAGACGCCAAGTTCCCTATTTTTAACCGTCTTTTTTTGATCTCGTCATCCACTCTCTATACCTTTTCTATAGCAGATCTATTTTTGCGGTAACCAGATTGATGTTCCTTCAGCAAGGCTTTTTCCCAGATATTCGGGAAAATTCCCTTCGATAGACAATTATTATACATCTCTAAAAATACCTCTGGGTGTTATGTACCTATAATCTTAAGAACCTACCCCACCTGGTCCTGACTAGGTGCTTTTTTCCAGCACCGTGGTGATGAGTATGAACAACACCGCCACTACCAGTTCTTTTCTAAGTAGTGAAAGGGAATTCTACAAAATCACATTCCACTACCTTCTTATGCTGTGCTTTTTGTTATTTTTCTAAAAACAAGCATTCTCGCAATGATCTTGTATGCCTTCCCCCAGATGTCATCGTTCACTCCATGCATAAAAGCTTTCACTTTTCGACTTTATCTTCCTTATTAAGTTTTCTAAATCTTTTTTTTTTCGATTTGTATTCAACTTCTTAATTATCTATATCCTCCTATCGTCTTTGTGCAGCTTCTCTTCCTCGTGTGATTTTCCTTCGCGCTCTAACACATTCTTCTTTTTTTGGTGATTTGATCTCCATTTTCTCCTATTTAAGGTCCCCTTGCGTAATCGTGTTATATTTTTGCCAGGATCGTTGCCGTTTTTCATTCATCGTCTCAAAGAATAATCCCTCCCTTTCTTGTAACATACCAACTTAACTAGAACCCAATAAGGTTGATCCGTAAGGTTTTTCAGCATATTCTATATAAATTACAAAGGGATATTTTTCTGGTCCTGTTATTTTACACATTTTTGTGCTGGTGTTTCTTTTGCAAAGTTGTGTGGTGCCATATCCCGCTGAACGGTGGTACTTCATGTTACATGAATGAAGAGATCTGTATCGAACATTCTTTAAACAGGACATCAAGTATATCTAGTTTAAGAAAATAATGTTGTAAAACCTTTAACTAGGATTAAGGAAACTACAAAATAATTTTAAGTCGATTGTATCTCTACCATTACTCACCACATTAATCACATATCTTAATAAGCGAGGTATTGGGATCATAAAATAATAATATGTAGTTGTAAAAGTAACTACATTATGAATATCAAGTGAGAATAGTTACAAAGTTAAAATGATTAAATAATAAGCATATCAAGTATTGATTTAGTATGATTTATTATTCGGAGTTTGGCAACTTATTTACGACGATATTTTATTAGTATTTATTTTTTATACATACACATTACTTATTAGTACAAAAATTTTATAATATAACTATTTTTTAAACATTAACATTTTTTAACACATTTTAAATAAAATTATAATTGCTTCGATAAATTTTTAAAAAATGACATTTTAATACTGCCTACAAACTACAACATTTAATTTTATTACGATTATAAACCTATTGTTTATTTGATATTTTAGACACTTATAGTTGGTTAAATTAATTTGATTTAATAAAGCGGTTTTAAGCTTCAATTAATTGACCAACTATAAAAATCTATCCATAAATCTTAATAATACATTTCACCAAACCTCTCTAATTTATTTCGATTATATACACTTATCTTTGGTATTTTTTCCTTTTTTGGAATACATAATGGTCCCAATTAATTTTAATAATTAATTATATTTCAAAGTAAACTAAACAATATAATTATAGTATAATTTATTATTAATTTACGGCAACTAAACTAACATCGCTGTCAAATATCACATAAAGAAAATAAAATCAAATTTTATTTCGATACATCACCGGCACGATATTTTGATTGTCCGTCTTTTCTTTTAGTCCATCTCCATCTAGAAATAAAACAATTTTGATTAGAAAAAGTAAACCAATGCAGTCTCAACACCGAAATACCTATAAAACAGTAAAAAGTTTTCTTTTGTGTTGTGTTTCTTGTCTGTATTAACGTTTTTAGTATTTATGTCAGCGATGTTAGTAAAATGCCATGCAACAATTAAATGGAATAAGAAAAAATTGTTATGTTTTTTAACTTACAAAGCTTACTGAATACTTACTCATATATTATAATGTTTTTTTTTGAGGAAAGATTTGAAAGAGATTTGAAGAAAATATATGTGTGCGCGTTTTAATTCATTTTATATTTATTAATGTTAACATGCATAACAGGAAAGAGTGGTAGAAAAAAAGATGGTAAAAGAGACATTTTTTATAAAAAGACATTTAAAACACACCGACATTTCATTTATAAAAAGAACTAAATGTGCTCACTATTTATTCAATAAAATAATGAAGTATTTTCAATAAAATCAAATTTTATTGAAAACACGATATTTTAATGGCATGCTTTTCTTAAATTATTTAAAAAAAAATTATCAATTTTAATAATTTTTTTGTAAAAAAACAACTTTCATATTAATAACAAATACATTTAACATTAACATCGAAAGACACAACAACATTTCAATTTTTTGCGTATCGTGAACGAAGCAACGTTTGTTTATATCAAAAAAATTTATTTAAAAAAATTATTTTATCTAATTTTGTATTTTTCTTTTTTTTTAATTTTCATTGTACGACACATGTATTTTCCACTTTTCGCCACGTGATGACCGAATTCGCGGTCGTTCCGTTGCTGTCGCCCATACTACACGTTTTCGTACGCATAATCATCAGATCTGTCCTAATGCTAGGTCTTCGTACGTTTGGGGTCACGACACCGCAGGCATCACTTAATCGTCGTTTCACTGACAACGTGTACCTTTTCGAATGGTGTGATGGTTGGGGCGGTGGTAAAGGACACGGTGAACCGAAACTTGCGCTCACACGTTTATGATGATTCGGTGCCATCTCTAACGGTAGATTAGCCACGATGAAGAGTTGATAAAAAACCTCGTCAATTTTTAGGTTTTTTTTTGATGATGCTTCCACGAATACGCACGATGAATCTTGAGTTTCACAATATGCTTGAACTTCTTCTACAGTTACAGTCCTAATAAAAATAAAATATAAATCATTTTTATTAAATCAATACATTTTGCCTTTCTAATATGTTTTAACTTATAATTATTGTGAAAACGCAAATAGCTCATTTATTATTAATAAATAGAAGGTCGTATTATCTATTGTATTAACCCCTAATAGTTAGGGAGTAGGTAAACTTGCCAGTTGCTCTGTATAAAGAAACAAGAGTATAATTAATTAATGCATAATCATGCATAATCGTTGTTTATTGATTACAGATACAATATATGATTTTGTTACTTGTTATCACATGAATAACATGCCAGGCCTAGGTCCCAAGAGAGAAAAAGATGTCAGGAGGCAATGGGAATCTGGATCAGCAAAAAGAAAAAGTAAAGCTGAAAGAGCTGTAACAAACCAGATTTTAAGTTCAGGCATGATGATGAACTTTCTCAATCAAGCTGCATCTGGTAGCATAGAATCATATGAATCGATTACTTCGACTTCTAAAAAGCATAGAGTCACTTCCGAGACTCCGATGAATTTGGAAAGTACTTCAGACGCTCTGAATACGGATTCCGAAATACAAATAGGATCAAATTCTAACCAATCAAAATCTGACGATGTAATTCCTGTGTTGAAATTGAGCAATACAATTCACGATCACGAGAAACAGATTGAGATAAATTCTCCGCCATTTAGTAGCAACACGTGTGGATGTTTCCCATAACGAATTCTGAGCGTAGTGATACAGTTCAAAGCGGCCCCACACAGCAGTTAAATACCAGTGATGAAGATTATCCCCAAGATGATGATCATAGGCACTTTTCTAATTATCATTTCTCAAGAAAACTAAATAATGGTGAAAGTCAACATCGTCGCTGGTTGGTTTATTCAAATTCTCAAAATAAAGTTTTCTGTTTTCTATGCAGACTATTTGGCAAACTCAAATACTACAGGGAGGGTGCAGTGACTGGAAACATTTCGGTAATATTTTACATAGACATGAGAATCCAATGAACATATGACCTCTACGTTCCAATGGATAAAATTGGAGAAAGAAATAAAGCACGTAAAAACCAAGAAAACGAAAAGTTTATTCTTGAATCTCAAAAATTGGCGGAATTTGTTTGAAAGATTAATTGATATCATCAATTTCTTAGCCTCTCATAATCTGGCATTTAGAGGTCACAGACAATCTTTCAAGACAGACAATGGCACCAGAAACTTTGGTAACTTCATAGACTTATTTAAATTGATATCTAAATTTGACAATACGTTACGAGACAAACAACTTACACGCCATTATCTAAGCCACGATATTCAAAATTAATTGATCATATTGATGTCAAAACAGTTATCGAAGAAGTGATTGTAAGGTAAAAGAGGCAAAATATTATTCTTTTTTGCTCGACTGCACTAGAGACAGTAGTAGAGTTGAACAAATGTCAGTTATCTTAAGATATTGTAATACATCAACTGGCACAATAGAAGAAACCTTTATTGAATGTTTTGCTGTCACTGAGACAACTGGAGAGTATTTAACAAATGCAATACTGGAAGATCTAAAAAAAAAAAAACTGTCGTGGCCAAGGATACGATAATGGGCATTTTTTACACCTTGCGGTTGTCATAGCTGGAATCTGCTGTTGGTAGACGCAGCTAATTCTTCTGTGGAAGCAAAAACATTTTTTTGGTTTTATTCAGAAAATTTATTTACTATTTTCAAGTTCTAGCAAACGCTGGGATTTAATCAAAGGCAAATTAAAGTTTACTATGAAGCCTTTATCAGACACAAGGTGGGAGAGCAGAATCGAGTCAGTGAAAGCCATATTATTGCAATTTGATGATGAATGCATTGAAAGCTTAAAAAATCAAACGGAACAATCAGACACACCCAGTGATTGTGATTCGGTTTTAAACGTAATGCTCAGTTTAGAATTTATCATGTCATTACATGTATGGTATGAGATATTATCGCGTGTTAATGTCATAAGCAAATTATGACAATCTGTACAAGTCCATTTAAACATTGCTCTTGAACATTTGCGTACATTTTGTGCCTGGGTCAAAGAATATCGACAAACTGGATTCGAAATATGCTTGTCTGACATATATATGCTCTTCAATTTATTAAGAAAAGCAGTTATGATCTGCCAAAAGTCTTTAAAAATAAAAGGGTAGCCAAAAAGAAAAGGGCGTTCGATTATGAAGGCAGCGATTAACCTATACAGTTAACCAATTAACCTTAACAACCTTACGAACTATATGAAGAATTACTAGCAATGATCCCATTTACCCAACTTCATTAAAGATGTGAAACTTCTGCTCCAACACATAATTGAAAATAGCTTGAAAGAAATTTACCCAAATAATTACATTGTCATTTTAATTTTGTTAATAATACCCTTAAGTACAGCCTCTGCTGAAAGGAGCTTTTCAAAATTAAAACTAATAAAAAATTATTTAAGAAGTACAATAGATCAAAAGACTTTCAGCTTTGGCAGTTTTATCTATTGACGCAGATATAGCATCTAAGTTGAATTACGACACAATTATTAAGGAATTCAGTAAAGTTAACAGCAGGAAGTTTCCATTCCTTTAATTATTTTTTTTTATCTTTTCAGAGGGCCTCGCAAAATTACCTTGCCCACATAAAATTTGGATCTTGCCTCGCCACTTTATTAATAAGATTATCACGAAAGATAGGTACCCATTACCTGTTATTGAGGACCAACTAGACAGATTGCAAAAATGAGAGAGATTCAGTACGCTAGATCTGAAGAATGGTTTTTCCATGTCCGCGTTGAGGAAGGAAGTAGAAAATTTACATCCTTTGTAACTCCTGCTGGTTAATATCAATTTCTTCGAACACCATTTGGTCTTTGCAATTCACCGGCCATATTCCAAAGGTTTATTAACAATACCTTCAAAGATTTGATAAGGGATAGAATGATTCTGACATACATGGATGACATTATAATTTTAGCTGAAAACGAGATGAAGGCTCTGGAAAGATTGAAAAATGTATTAAAGGTTGCTGAAGATCACGGATTAGAGATTAATTGGAAAAAATACCAATTCTTGAAGTCAGAAATAGAGTATTTGGGTTATGAAATAATTAATGGAAGCATTCAACCATCTCCGAGCAAAATAGAAGCTGTAACCAAATTTCCAGATCCTAAAAATCTGAAGCAGCTCCAATCATTTGTGGGCGTTGCTGGTTATTTTCGAAAATTCGTCAAAAACTATTCGCTGAAAGAATATATATTAATGAACGAGGAGATCACCTATTCTGTTTTGGAAGAATTCAGAGAGAAGCGTTTGAAAGATTAAAGACCATCTTATCTAGAGTTTATTTATTAGGCATTAACTTTGAAATTGTTACAGATTGTTCAGCATTTACTAAAACATTAGAGAAAAAAGAGCTATGTACTAGAGTTGCAAGATGGGCACTTTTATTAGAGGAATTTCAATATATCGTTCGTCATCGCCCAGGACAACGTATGAAGCATGTTGATGCTCTCAGTCGTTACCCAGTGATGTTAACCTCCATCAAAGGTACAAGAGATCGAATCGAAAATGCTCAAAGATCCGACGATACGCTGAAACAAATGTTTGATTTACTTGAAAATGGTCCATACGAGAACTATGCTATTGAAGATAAAGTGTTGTACAAGTATGAAAATGGTCAACGATTACTAGTGGCACCAAAAACCCTACAATACGAGATCATCAAGAAATGTCACGACGATAATGGACACTTACGTTTAAAGAAAACGATGGACATCCTTAAGCAAGAATTTTGGATATCAAAACTTAGAAAGAAAATAGAGAATGGAAGAGAAAAGCAGGTAATCCTGAAGGTTTTCTAAATTCAATCGAAAAAGGATCTACGCCGCTAGATACTTATCATATTGATCACCTTGGTCCTTTAGTTGTTGTTCAGCGTTACATTTTGTATATTTTTTATAGAATTAAAACTAGAACTAACAGTAACTAGAAACTTTCTAATTCTAGATCTAGTGATAGTTCCAGTTTTAATTGTTATTCAGCTTTAGACAATGTAAGCTCGTATACTGGAACGTTCATATAAACCAATTAAATAATATGAAAAAATTTTAATCTCAAAAGTTGAGTGATAAATCGAAAAATAAAAATGTTGACAACGAGATACACTTTTGTTGGCGATGTTTTTCGATAGTAATTGAGTTAACTGTGAACTTTTTGTTCCCAAATTGGGTGAAATGAAATATCTGTGGCAATCTGTAGAGTTTTCGGGTCAAAGCTTCGTACTTCGTAGTGAAGCTTATGCTTCTTGTATTTACTTGTGTTCATATTTTCTCATGTATGTCTAATATCTATATGCTTAAAGTTGCTTTGTATGCAGAGATGGGTAAATATTACGCTATTACATTTCAGTGAATTTCGAGGAAATATACCTATTCCTATGTTTAATGTAAATAGGAATTTACAGATGTTAAAAAAATGTTTTTTTTATTAAAAATAAAATAGAAAAATTGTCTTATTAAGTTATAAAGCTTTTCATGCTCACAATGTTCAGCACGAAAATATTAACAAAAGGTTCAGGAAAACGTGCAACTGACAGTAATCTGAACTATAACAAGATCCTCTAAAAAGCAACATCCTCCTCACAAATTATCCATGGTCCATAGTGTATCCATAGACATAAACTATATAAATAGTAACAAATTTTTAATTCACTTTCAATTTTGGCTCTTTTCAAAATACATCTTCGGATAACGTCGATCCATTTAAGTTAGTTTAAGATGGATACAAGTCGAAATTCCAATGTCAGCTATCTGGAGATGTAATAAGGGATGGGTGAAACGTATTCGTGACATTCGTAGTAAATCGTGCCGTCACATGACCCCCCGTGAGAATTTTCCCCTCAACCCCATCTGCTCAACGCAAGTTTGAAAAAAAAACTTTAAAAAAATCTTTTACAGTTAAAAAGAAGATGCAAGTTTTCCGAAAGTTATATTTGTAAGAAAGAAACATCTCTTTATTCATTTTTTCTTATTAACTCCTCGTTTCGTTCTCTTTGTCGTTTGCTTTCGTACTCGGAAACTTTTTAACGCGAGGACGGCTATATTTGAGATGGAACCACAAAGTTAACTTGCTTTCATTAAATAGGGTTTCAACGTAACGTTTCTCCGAAGGTTACGTATAATTACGTGGGGTGTATACGTCTACTTGAAAGGTAAAGGATAAACAAACATTATTTTGAAGTTTGAAAGTAATATTACGGTAAGGCTGAGATGTTTAAACAGGCGAAATTAACTGGAACTAAGTATAGGATGAGAGAATGCCAAAGATTATTAGTACTGCAATTAGGTGTAAGAGAAACTTATACTTTGAATTTGTTCATAACTTATGTACCTATTTTTAAGTTCTATAAAAAATAAAAACTGGGATTTCTTTTTATATAAATGATTTTAAAGTTATTCTTTCTCATTGCAGGATGTTCATAACTTCAATGCAATGAATAATTTAACAAGTTTGCAATGTAACACAATGTAGGAATGTACTTGATGAAAGATTAATATTGGTGAGAAAAGGAGCGTCTAAATGCTGATTTAAGAAAATCGATTTCACCGTCTTGCCCACAAACGATTTCAGTTACTATTTATCAACTTTCCAAGAGGTTGAAGCCAAGATTATAATTTCTGCAATTGTAATCTTCTACCATAATTACACCTAGAAGATAATAAGTTACTAAAGTATTAGTTACTCAATCAGTTTCATAGCGATTACCCAAATAATTTGGATTTTATCATCTATGGTCTCGATTACTCAAAAATATTCTATGAAGAAAAGATCTAACTTTAAATACATTTCCAAAAATATCTAGCAATTCAAAAAGAAACAACAACAGTTTGCTTTATCTACACTACTGGCATAAACATTTTCTGACTTTTGCTGTACTTTTTAGATTAAACCAGAAGAACAACAACAAGAATGGTACTTTTCCTGCTTTTAGTCCAATTGTGGTAAATAACTTCAATTTTTGCATTTTGACATCATTGAAACTCTGTACAGCTTTTAATGCACCAAACTTTAGGCTTATAAGGTAGGAAGTCTTGCAAAACTTACTTTTGAAATATATATCCAAATCATATTGATGGTAAAATCACGGATGAAGAAGAGAGCCCGAAACACCGTAGTACCTCACTCTGCTGACAGAAGACTACGACAAAGCACTGAAGATGTCAGGTGAGATCTTGGCGAAACGTTTGCCCCTTACCAAAGGGAACCAACAGGAAGAACGGATAAAATCTCGGATCGACCACAACAACAACTCATTGACATTTTGTATTCTGGGCTTCAAAATTATTTTCAATAACTCTAGTCTAGATAAATTGATGATGAATGGTTTGATAAATATCGTTACGTTTTTGGGGTAAATGAAAATATTTGGACCGATTAGATTTATCTTTCGGATAAAACTAAAAACGAGATGGAGAATCTCTACAGAATGTGTATTTCTCCTTATTGCCAGGTTATAATAGTTGTGCAATTGCTTCATCGTAGTTTGCATCAAACTATTTCTGCAACCTAGGGTAGTCCTATCTGGTAGCTTTTCAGTCTTTTCCTTGACTTTTCTCAATCTGGCCCCATCTTTTTCTGAATATAATCAACACCCTCAACTTTTTTTATGTCTAACTCTTCACCATAGGACTCTTCATCATATACTGTTTGATATGCGTTGGACTCACAAACCAACTCAACCCAAGTGCTTAGACAAAATATCATTATCGACAATTTTTCCAGTCGTCAGAAAAGACAGAGTTTTTCTCTATATCTTCTTTTTGCTTTATAGACTTTTTCAGATATAGTTCCAAGATTAAATAATGAAGCTTTCTTCATATTTGTTAAGAGAAACCTCGATACTAGAGTCGAGGTTGTCTAGGTTGAGGGCCAGATAGCACTACTGTGCATTGATTCCTAAATAAAGCTTTTTGCACATACTTGATGACTAGAATAGAGGTTGTTATAAGTATACACATACCTAGACTTATATTGATGTATAGGAATACGTCGATCTCTTAACATTACAGTTACAAATCTGTACGTTATTAAAGATCAATTAATATTGCAATTAAATATCATTACATCGATGTTAATGATATAATCATTTGTACAGAATAAAATATATCGATCAAAATATATAGAACTTACTTGAAAATTGACGACCTCAAGAAGGCTAGGAGAATCAATACTACCATTAAGGATTTTATGGAATGTTAAAGCATCACCATGTTAAAGATAAGAAGTTGAAGGAGGCACAGGCTGATACGTAATTAATGTAAGCGATGTTGCTTTTAAAGCATAAATACTTTAGGAATTTCTTTTGAATACTTTCAATTCTGGATATATATGTTTGTTATTGGGGATTCCAAACGGAGCTGCAGAAGCTTAGAACGCTATGCACATATGCAAAATTCAATGTTCTTATAGCATAAATATTTGAAAAATTTTGCGTGACTCATATCGAAGCCAAGCAAGCGCCAAGCCTTAGCAATAGCTTCATCAACGTGACCCTCAAACGTTAGTTTGATATCAAATGTGACGCCTAAATCCCTGACCTGAGTCACTCTAGGTATGGTATCATCACCTAGGCTATAATCGTATCTGATCGTGTCTGCCTTCCTTGTAAATGAAATAACATTACATTTTTCCTGGTTCAGTGTTAAGTAATTTGAGCTGCAATAAATACGTAGCGCATCAATGTCGCGTTGTAGCCTCGAACAATCCAAAGGTGAAGAAACTCGTGTAAATTTTTTTAAATCATCAGCATACATCAAGCAATGAGGGTGTTTAATTATTGAAAAAATATCATTGATATAAATATTAAATAGAAGAGGTCCTAAGTGACTCCTTTGCAGTACACCGGAGGTAACAATCATGCTGTCCGAAAAATGACCATTGATATTCACTTTTAGAGTCCTTCCACGTGTATAGGAGGTGTATGTGATCTTTTTCGATCTTCTATCAAGTTCAAGCCTATACCATGTCATTACTTGTTCCTCCAAGTAAGTCATGCATTTTGTTCAAGACGTCAGTTTACACAGTGGGCTGAGGTGTCTATATTGAAAGGTTTTTTTCTTCACCATGTCCATCTTTACCTATATATTTATTGTAATGTTATTTGCAATTCGTCCAAATCTGTTCAATGGGATTGAATTCACAATGATATGGAGGTAATCGAATTACTTAGTGACACCACTCATTGGCTTAGGGACGTCTTAGACGTCTGAGGGGCAATGAGTCTTTTCTGCGTCCTTAAACCGCACCTTCGTACTGTATACAGTAGTTGCCAAAACCTCACGAGCTTCAGATGGTCTTACTTCATTAAGAATATTCGCACTTAAATTTTTTTTAATTTGATGTAAATAATTATGTTCATCGACATTACCATTGCTTTTTTATTCAGCACTCTCGTGGTATATAAAATAACTTTCTGAAAGCCTAACTGGTAAAAAATAAGGTTTGCGGTTAGATTTTTAGATATTTAAATAGTATGGATCAATATTTTATGAATATGTACTTTAAAAGATTTGGGGGTTAGGGTCGAACATCACCATACTAAAACGTCTTATCCACCTGCTGTAACATCGCTTCCCAAACTCTAACCCATAAATAATTCCCACCTTAATGGCACCCTAAACTTGTTACTGCTGCAGCTTTACTCCGTGCTTCTGCAGCTTGCGCTAATTACATAAAAGTGTAATTGGGCTCTTAACGAATTTTTCTTTCGAAAATTATGAAAATAAGTGCACCATTTTGTCATTAACTAAAAACATCTTTTTTGGTTATTCTATTTTAATATAAAAAAAATAAAATAAAAAGTTCTCGATCGTTTTTCATGGCTTCTTGAGTAAAGATGGATTTTATGGAGGAAAGAAAATCTTGGAACGATTGAAAAAGTAACCAATTTTAACCGAAATCTAAATCGTTTTCGTGTCCACCACGAATATAAAAATGTAATAAAAAATTTTATTAAATAATGAAACAAAAAGATTTAATTAAATTTTATAGTTTCATCATCGTTCACGAAAATTCTCATTTAAGATTGGAAATAACGGGAACCATAAATCTGCAAATGACATGGAAAAACTCATCAACTTCCGAAATTTTGACAGTAAATTCCAAGGAAGACTATGTGATATACTCATTTGTCGTAATAGCGTCTGTGGCGATCATTAAAGGGACGATGAAACCATGAAACAGAGCGGTATTTTCGCGTGCAAGAGATTACCAAGTTTAACGGGGCGTTCTCACTAAACGCTTATCCACCCTGTCCTGGAAAACTTACTTCATCTCCTTGTCGCATTTATTGCCTGCAAGGACCATCGGCACCCGAGGCACGACCTTCTTGCGCGTCAAACCGCTATTTGATGCAGCTCCCGCACTTTGCTTCGTCTCCAGAATCTGTTCTCTTAAACGAATCGCCTCCTCGAACGTTTCCCTGCTATCCATGCTAAACACTATTACGAAAAGATCACCTGTAAATAAAATATTATTAAGATTTTTTGTGTTGATAAAGAAATTTTATAAAGAAATTAATATTATTAATTAATAATGAACAGAGTTGAATGTGCTGAAATTCGTGAGATTTCGATGCAACTCACGCATACTTTTATTGGTTTAACTGCAATAACTTCTGCTTCTCTGAAAATATGTAAATGTTACTACCAAAGTTATCTTGTTTGAGAACTTGTTCTCAACTCCTTAAAACTTAATAACTAGTGAAGGCGCTTGGGGATTTAGCACATAAAAAATATATACGCGAATTTATTGCTGAAATGACGCATAATTGAGCTCTATATTAAAAAATAAAACCTGTTTTTTTGTATAAAAACTTCTCGACAAATTTAACAAATGTATTCTATCGAATTTCAGGCGAACGACCCTCGAACTCTGATATTTTATTATTCAGTGGCTTGCGAGTTCTTCAAATCCCGTGTTTATTTTCGTTTCTAGTAAACCGCACAAAATCTAAAACTTTAAAATGAACTTGTTAACTATTAAATGGAAAGGATTATTTTACAGTTACACAAAAAAATAAAATGTTTTAATAGGAATATATACTATGTTACTGTAAAACAGTAACTTTATTAATAAAGTTACTAATTAGTGAATGTCAACATTCTCTAGCTAGTAACAGTAGAACTAGAAAGATTCTTTCTTTATAGTTTTCTTTATAAAGTTGTGTCAAGTAAACTACCACCTTACCTCACCAACAAAATTACTTACAGAACGGACATTCATAATATTAATGTACGGCGTAAGGACCTCATTGACATTCCTCGTCACCGTACCCAATTGTTCAAGAGGTCTTTTAGTTATAACGCGGCATGTATTTTGAATAAGTACAGTCTGCTTTTTGCTCAACCATCGTTTCGCACTTTTAAAGAGTCTCTGCGTCTTAAATTGCTTAATGACTAGCGCGTCGTTCTACCTTCAACTCGAATTAGTGTATATATATATATTTTTTCTTTTTAGTTTGTTAGGGACATTTATTAATTTTTATTTGTTTAGGCTCCTCATTTTTTATATTTTTTTCGTTTTTTACTTATCGGCCACGATAATTGTTCCAGGTTGAATTTAATTTTGATTTGTTATTACTTTATTTTGTTTTTTTTATATATTTCTTTTTTTTTGTGTATGGGATTTCCAGGAAGACCAGGACGCCATAATTTGGCTTACTGATGGAAATACCATTTGGCAAACTCTATACTTAGTTATTTTAATGTATTACCTATATTGTATTGTCATGCCAATAAACTATTATTATTATTATTATTCGGGTTTAGCCGTCTTGAGAGACGTGCGGCTAAACAGGAATGTTTCTAGTTCTAGGTCTAGTGTTGGTTCTACTTCTAATTCAACAAATTATACAATAATCTAGAACTGAATCACAACTAAAACTAGAACTAACACTAGATGCAGAACTAGAAAGTTTCGGGTTTAGCCGTACGTCTCTAAAGACGGCTAAACCCGAATCTTTCTAGTTCTGGATCTAGTGTCAGTTCTAATGGTAGTGTTGGTTCTAGTTTTAGTTGTTATTCAACGTTTTGATTGTTGTGTATTTTCCATTGAGCTAAAACTAGAACTAACACTAGACCTAGAACTAGAAATATTCTGAAGCGAATTCGAAGCGTTGTTCTTCGATGCTAGATTGTTGTATATTTTTCTTCAATTATAAGTAGAACCAACACTAAATCTACAACTAGAAACATTCGGATTAGCCGTCTTAAGAGATGCACGGCTAAACCCGAATGTTTCTAGCTCTAGGTTTACTGTTAGTTCTAATACTAGTATTAGTTTTTGTCTTAGTTGTTATTCAGCGTTAAATTGTTGTACATTTCTCATTGAAGTAAAACTCCAACTAACACTAGATCTAGAACTAGAAAGATTAGGGTTTAGCCATCTTAAGAGATGCACGACTAAACCCAAATGTTTCTAGTTCTAGATCTAGTGATAGTTCTAGTTTTAGTTGTTATTCAGCGCTAGATTATTGTATATTTTTATTTAACTAAAAGTTGAACTAACAGTTCTAATGCTAGTATTAGATCTAGCTTTAGTTATACAGCGTTACGTTATACTTTTCAATGAACTAAAACTAGAACTAACTCTATCCTTAGAACTAGAATCATTCGGATTTAGCCGTCTTAAAGACCACAGCATTCAGTTTAAAGTGTAAATTAAAATGTTGTAATATAAAGGATCTTTCTTCCCCGTATTAATCGAAGTTCTGTATTTCATTTTTGTTTCTCAATAACAATTTATTTTATTAAACAACACGTTTCTGCCATATATGAAATCCTATGTGGACTTTCATAAAAATAAGGGGACTTGTTTGGGTATAAATTTTGAATTCGGCGAAACGCGTTAATTTAATTAGGGGTATTGTCACTTTTCCATTTTGATTTTAAATATTTAGTAAAATAATTTTCTGAAAATGTTTTATAACTCAACATTATTGAACTAAAATTAAAAATTGATAATGCCGATAAATGAATGAAGTTTTCAATTTAAATTGAGATTAGTTTCCAACAGTTATTGGTAATTTAACTTTTACAACTAAACGTATTCACCAAGTTTCAACAAATTTTCAACATCATTTACTCGTTGTTACCAACTCATTACTTTCGATCAATTGATCTAGTTTGATTAAAACTTATTGTTCTCGTTTCCTCAAAGAAAACTACCTATTTACTTATGTGTGTTGGGGAATTTACTGTCTTTTATTTCCTCCGAGAATTGCGTTACTTTTTTTTGTCTTTTGGTACTTCTAAAACCTTTTGGTATTGAAGCTTTGATTCTTTCTTGAACTTCTTAGGATTGTTTTATTTTTACACGAGGGTGTATTTGCTCTTCTAGTTTTAAGTGGAATGAATTTTACACACGTATGCATGGTGTTTTCATTACTTGTTGCTCATTCATAGGCTAGGTTTATCTGTTAAGAATTATTTTTGATTTATGTGTAATTTTATTTAATAATCAAAAAAGATTCTTGATATCCCACCGTGTTATCCGAAATAGTTTTTCAAACCCTTGAATCAAGGCCAAAGCTTGCCCAATCATATTGATTGGTAGATATGAATATGATTGAAATGGGCAAAAGTGATTCTAAGATTATGTTTTAACTTAGGATAAAAATGCGTATTTCTTGTTTACTCTTGATTCATCTTTCATTATCTTTTATAAATGATGTTTCATACGGGAAAAAACGTGCAAAATCAATTTTTCGAAGATATCGGAAGACGATAAACATAAATCTAGAAAGGGTTCATAATCCAGAAAAAAAGAGCAACTTTACTGTCTTTTTAGTTATTTCTTCAATCTATATCAAACATTTTACCACCCCATTTTCTTCTATTAACCATCCCCAATTGATGGCAAGTTATTGTATCCTATTGTTCCCTTCTTCTTATATAGTGTTCGTCGAAACTTGAAAGAATTCTCGTCGGAAATCTTAAATCCGTCGTAGCGCTCAGAAAATGACGACGTACGACATTGGAACAAAGCGATTTCTGCGCTCGTTGCGATAGCTATTAAAGATTCGCCACGGGAACTTGGAAAGTTCCTCTCGCAAACCGACCGAATGCAGATTTAGTTCAGACGTCATCACCGTCATTATTATTTCGATCTCAACCGTCTTTTCGAGTTCGTGTCGTACTGCGAAGATCAATTCGGTCGAAACGCGCTCTCATAAATAAGACGACGCGCGGCTCTTTATAATGCGAGCTGAACGTGGAAGGTCGTGATTTTCAACCCGTGACCCACCCAGCCGTTCACCGGTAATGAAATTTTAAGCATAAAAGCTCCAATAATAATTCGTAATAAATTAGTTGATATCTTAAATGATTTTGAGATGAAGTGTTATAACAAAAAAATAAAACATTAATAATGCATTTATAGGCTTCGTTAAGGAAATTGGATAGTTATTACGTCCTGGTTTGCCATTAAAAGTAATTTCTTTTCGATATTTCATTTTACTCGACACAGAGTAGCCATAAAATTACAATAAAATCCATTGGAGCCTAATAAAGTCGTAGTCTGGAGGTTGGATATAAAAAATCGGGTCGTTAAGGGAAATTATTCGTTTAGTTTTTTTTTGAGATGAAGAAATCTTCAGTTGCTTTCTACGAATTGGTCTTATTTACGGCTATTTTTGGAGAAAGTGGAACATCCTATCTATTAGGGGAGAGATGGAGTAGCATCTGTTGCCTGGAGAAACCTAATATATCCCATTTGATTTCGAGAGGTTACTCGTTTGAAGTAAATCCGCATTCTGGGGATTTCTATTTTTATTATTTACAATAGTACAGTAAAACGTCGATATAACGGATTAATATGGGGAAGGGAGTGTGTTATAGCTAAAAGTTCGTTGTATGAAAAATTAAGCCGCCTTAAAACATATACGGCTAAACCCGAATGTTTCTATTTCTATGTCTAGTGTTAGTTCTAGTATTAGTACAATGAAAAATATACAACAATATATCTAACGCCGAATAACAACTAAAGACGTCTGAAGATTCACGGCTAAACCCGAAACGTCCTACTTCTAGCTCCAGTGTTTACAACAATCTAACGCTGAATAACAACTAAAACTAGAACTAACACTAGCACTAGAACTAACACTATACCTAGAACTAGAAACATTCGAGTTTAGCCGTTTTCAGAGATGTACGGCTTAACCCAAATGTTTCTAGTTGTAGGTCTAGTATTAGTTTTAGTTTTAGTTCAATGAAAAAGTAAAACAATCTAACGCTGAATAACAACTAATTGTAAAACTAGAACTAACATTAATATTAGAACTAACACTAAACTTAGTACTGAGCTTTAGAACTAGAAACATTCGGGTTTAGCAGTGCATCTCATAGACGGCTAGTGTTAGTTCTACTTTTAGTTTAATAAAAATATACAATAATACAATAACACTAGACCTAGAAAGTTTCGCGTTAATCCGTGCGTCTTCAGACTTGGATTATCAATTCATGGCGATGCGGCTTTTATTGGTCAACGAGTGGTTGCTGAAACTTTAACCTGAAGCAATATTGAAGGTTATAAGGTGGATAGCATTGTGCATATTGTCATTTTATTGCACTGACACGCCCAAAACAATAGAAGCCCCAGTGTTTCACGTAAATGGACATAAACCCGGAAGCTGTGAGTTTTGCTGCAAGTCTGGCGATGAAACATAGGTACAAGTTTAAACAGGACGTAGTGATTGACATAATATGCTACTGCAAATATGCCCATAATGAAGGCGATGAACCGAATTTCATTCAGCCACTCATGTATAAACTGATATAAAAACATAAAACTCCTGAAACATTGTATGAAGAAAAATTGACTGCAGAAAAAGTATTAGATGGCGATGAAGTAAATAAATTACGTAAGTCACTGAATCAGTGACTTACACTCCAAAAAAAGCTGACTGGTTCGGTGGAGTATGCTCAAAATTAAGAAAGGCAAAGGTTTTCTGCGAATATTATACGGATTCTGGTGTCTCGCATAGTGAGCTGAAAAAAATTGGGTGTGTAGATGAATAGCAACATCCCAACCAGTTTTAACTTTAACCATAAGGAGGCAATTAATTGGGGGCGGCTCAAACCTACACCATTTGCATGCCTCACTGTCCCTATTTGCATATTTATCCAATTCAATCCCTGTTTTATAAGAATTGTGTAAGATTCGTTATTTATTGTTAAGCCACGGTCAACACGTTACTTCTGATTGCCTAATTTTTATTAATTTTACATTGTCCGCTTTGAACTCGCTCGGTGGCTACTACTGCCTTAAGTTTGTATTTGAGTTACTACTCTGCACTTGTTCCAACCTGCTTTGCAACCTCAGTTTTCATCTTTGTACACCGAATGTTTGCTACAAAACGAGGAAAGACGTAGAAAGGTCTGTATGCCCCACTGTCCCAATCTGGTTCATACTTGTCCAATTCATTCCCTGTTTTATAAGAATTTTATACCTTCATTTTACAAATTTGCTTTGCCGCGATTAACACATTGCTTCCGTTTATCTGGTTTATTGTTCGATTTGCTGCTTACTCTTGAACTTGCTCGATAACCACTGATAATTTGAAGTTTTCAAATTTAAATTGCTCCTATGCAGGTCTACTTTACCAACCTATTTTATAACCTCAAAATTATCAACGTGTGCCGAACGAACTTTTCCCACCATCCAGGTAATTGAATTAATTTGTTCATTTGGAGTTTTAGAATGTTTGTCTTGTTGTTTTAGTTTGACGTAAGTTTGCTTTGATTGTTTCATTTTAATTAACAATAGTTGCATTTAGATTGAAGAACGATGTAGGTAACTTTGTAGGGTCTACCGAAGGCGGGCAAGGTCCCGAAACCATGTCAAGACAATAAAATAGAAAATTAATCACCTTACTATGAGTTTTTCTAATTATATACATTCTGTTTAACAATAAGGTTAGAAAAATTCTGGATGGTAGAATAGACAGTATAAATTTCGATAGTAGGAAGTGCGTTTATTAGGACAAGACTCTGACCGTGGTACTTTTTCGCACCGTCATTCAAGGCTTGTTGATCAGATAACAGAAGAAGCGTTTATTCCGATAAACAATATAAGCAAAGAACAGGCTCACTTGAGGTCATAGATAGCGCTTTAATAGAATATGCTGTTATGGGCTTTGAATAGGAAGAACAATTTGTTGATTTTGCAAATGATGCGCAAATTATGATTGGTTCCGATGAAGCGATCTAGTTTTGCTGCTGCTTCATGGTTATGAAGGGCAAGGATCTGAGCAAAGCTCCGCACGTATAGAGAGATTTTTGCAACTCTGCGCAGAAGATAACATGCAAGTGGTTAGTTGTTCAACCTCAGCAAATGATTTTCGTTTTATGCAGACAAATGCATAGAGACTGTCGTAAGCCTCTGGTAGTCTTTACACCTAAATCGCTACTGCGTCATAGAAGAGCAGTTTTCAATTTATCTGACTTTGAAGGAAAATTCCCCACGGTGATTCCAGAATGTAGAACAGGTTTAATGTCGTATGATAAAATATGTATAGTTGTAATATAATATAATACGACATAATTGAAGTATATAAAGCACAAAAAATAAACGAGATAGTAGTAAGACATTTAGAACAATTCTATCCATTTCCTGCCGGTAAACTAAGCAGTGAACTTGAAAAGTACAAAAACGCTGAAATTATATAGTGTCAAGAAGAACCAAAAAATATGGGAGGATGGTTTTTGCTCAACCCATTAGGAGAAGAAGTGTTGTCCAATCTCGATATTCAAGCAAGAAGACCTAAGTATATCACAAGCAGGTCTTGCTGCATCTCCTGCTTTGTCCGTTATATCCGAAGTCCGTTCTAACGAGGTTTTACTGTAATAGGTTATCGGTGATCATTAGCAGGATTATTGCAAAAGTGTTATCTTAAAGAGCCAGTTATTAGAAGGAAACTCTTGAAACTAGAAGGCTAATCATCCCGTTTAATTGCACCCGGTGCAATTAAACCGTACTGCAGTGAACATTACAAGGCGACTATAGAGAAGGAAGTGGTACGACCAAGCTAGGAAATTCTCGTATTTCACTGGCTGATTTATGTGCCCAATTTCGTTCAGTGTACGGCCTAGATATCCCGTAGGATATCTAAATTTTCTTCGCCGTTATTACAAACGTTGGCTACATTTTTGACCGATAAATTTTATTTTTCGTTTTCGCGGTCACAAGATTTATGTGTTTGACGAATTCAACTGGAATTATTGAATTCTAAAATTCTCGAGAATACATTCCATTCAAATAATTGTATAAACAAACATTTAATTGAAATTGTATTGAAATATTTTCGTGAAATGATTGAAATTCTATTACCAACAAATCATATTAAATTAAAAGTGTGAAAGCGGTGGTTAACATGTTAACATATTAAATTGTTTAGGGGTAAATTCGTGTAAGTTATGGAAAATTTATTAACATTTCAGGAATTTCGTGCATATTTAGTGGCATAATATGACAGCAAATACCGAATCTCAACTATGCAATACCTTAAAGGTAACTCTAAATAATTTATTTCTTTGTGTGCAACATAACATTTCTAATTTGAAAATAGATTCTAATTGCACAAATCCGATTAACTAATTATTTAATTATGCACGTTTGAAGCGAATCCCGTGCATGTGACGTATAATTTCCAGTCTCGACTAATTAGGACACCCATTCACGATGCGAGCCTTGCATCCTTATCTGGTCTTTTAATTTCGCATTTGGGGAGAAGCGAACTACAAAAAGGGTTCTTAATTAAAAGTGGAGTATCATTCATAACCTAAAGGATTTTATTCTCTACGTTTACCGACTACATTTTGGGACGTTCATAGAATGGAACGAGGATACGTCCGTATTCACACTATTTCTATTCATACAATCGCGTGAAACACATCCCCCCAACCCTAAAGGGCAACGTCATTAGTAGCGAAACGTGTGGTTTAATCAACGTTCGACAAACGCGCGCTGTTTGTCGTTTATTATGCAAATTTTGGTTTGTTTTTTGATGGTCCAATTTATTTTGATCAACGTTTTCAATTCCGAAATGTTATCTAAATAGAGATTACTGAATTATGTTTACCCTATTTTATACTTTATTCGTTATAATTTATTGATTGAAATGAAATTTGTTACCTGTTAAAAATGAAAGTCTTCTCATTGCAGGAAATGGGTGATTTCCTGATGTATCCAGTATATCTAATTGGTGTATTTCCCCTCTAATCCTATACAATTTCCGGTGGAAATCTTCAATTGTGGGTGTGTAACTTTCTTGGAATTTGCCACCGAGAAATCTAGCTACCAAGCAAGTTTTTCCTACTCTAGCGGAACCTGAAACAAAAAATATGCTTGTAATAAATAAATGAACCCTCTTCAATTTAACATAACTTGACATCGGCTTTGATTTACATGATTGCAAATCTGGAACTCCATCAAAGTCTAAGCGCGATGGTAACTAGTTCCTAGTCCCTATTCGCTGTGGCTCGAACATATTAAACTCGATAAATTATTCGGTTTCCGGTCGCTACCTCCTCGACTATTGCCATGCAATTATTCGTCATCGCAATTATAGCGCCGAGAGCATGCTAATTGCCACGGAGGATGTCAATGGAAATACATCATTTACAGATCTAAACTGGTTCTTGAAAGGTCTTAGTCGTTGATAGAGGTTACCTTTGTGCATCCAGTTATACGTAAATTTACGGATATACACGTGCCTCTGCAACTAACTCGAGTAACATGCCTCTAGAGATCTTGATTTAACTAATTAATTAAATTGCCCCATATGATTACTGCATCAAGATCACGTATCAATGAATGGTAATTATTATTGAATAAAACTCAATTAAGTATTTATTACCAAATTACTAACTACCTCTATGTGTTAACGAAGCATTTCATTTCGCTTGTGTAATTGGGTAATTCCGACGAAATCAATTCGACGGTAAATGTGAGTATAGAAATCAATATATATAGAGAGAGAGAACAAAATTTAATTAAGCCAACAAAAAATAATTACAACAAGAATAAAAGAAGAAAAAAAATAAAAGCTACGGTCGATAGCCAAAAAGGGCTATCATATTTGATATCATATTTGATCGCGTTTTTTCTTGGCCTATATTTTCCACCGAAGTTTTGCATCCTGTGTCATGCCAAAGGTTTTAGCTCTGTCAGAATATGATGCGATAATGCTATTGATAGTGATAGGTATATAAATTATTCGTTTGTTCGTAAAGTTTATGTGGGTAGTTCATTCATCTTTACTCGCCTAATTTTAACCAATTCGTCAATTTGGTTTACAGCACTCTTTAGCTTTTGAGTCGTTTCTCTAACAAAACCGTGGTCGTTTAGGGATATCACTGGTATACATGGGTATAACAAAATAACTATTTATAATTTTCGGAAATGATAGAGTTATACTGAAATAAACAATTTTTATTAAAAACTAGTGTCAGGATATTTCTCGGTGTCAAAATAAACTATAAATTTTTAATAACAATCTCAGTTACAACAGGAAGAGGTTAAGTTAAGGAATATTTTCGTATTACCATTTTCCATGCACAAGTTGTAACGATTTGCAATCGAATAGCTGAGGACGTTCATAAATATATAATACATGGTGAACGTGTAGGACAAGAAATCGGTCCCCTCTTCCGATCCATCTGTTTGGAAATTGTGCATTTAGATAGTTTCGGCAATTTAATCCAAAGTGTGCTGGTGCGCAATCATGCTGGAAAACAATATTTCTTTGAATATTAAGTGGGATATTTTCAATTCTTTGCAATTCTGGTAGAGCTGTTCGAGAAAAATGGAAAAAACAGAACGGCTGGGAATTCGGAAATACGCACGATTTCGACTATAGAGCCATAGAAGTAGAAGAGGATTTGTACAAGTTTAAGTTGTACCGTATTTCAACTAAACTGATTTGGACATGAAAAAAGTGATTAAATATAAATAAGTTAGCTACACCAGCAATATCTTCTATATACATCTAACGGTGCAGGTAGTAAATATAGTCCCACTACATAATGGTCAACAATCCTAGCCCTGAATAATTTTCATACATCATTTCTGAAAATTAAGAATAGTTATTCTGTGACACCCTGTACAAAATTGGACCAAGTGCGCTGCCCTGAGATACTCCAGCTTTTATAACATAAGCTTCTTGTTTGGCTCTGAAGTATAAAGTCACTAATATAACTAAATAATTTTATAAAGTCACTATATTCCATAGGAAGTAGTTTTGTGATTTTTTAACTGTCCTTCATGCCAAACTTTATCGAATTCTTTCTTCGTACTTATGTTATACTTGATATCTTGGCCAAAAAGTCAAGGCCCTTCAATTCAGAGATCGATATCTTCGCAACCGTTTGATGAAAGAATTAGCTGTAAAGTTTGTTACCACACTGAACATTTCTACGTAGCACGTGTGAATTTTCGGCTCCGCAGTTTTCTTTTTATCGCAAGTTAAATGAGAAAAGTTCCGATTTCTGAGAGTATCGGCAACTTTGCCCACTTTACAATTTTCTTTTTTAAAAACTATATGACGAAAAAATTTCAATTCAAATACGGGTTCCGTCTAATCGGAAAAAATGGTGCTGGTGTGTGTTCTATATAGACTGGACGTCGGGTTTTTTATTTTTTTTGTATAAGTAAAATAATAATGTATATTATTACATACATAGTCCGCTTCAAAACACATGTTGGATGAGTTAGTTTTCTTAACAAAAATCAATCACCCCGGGAAAGAATGTTGGGTAAGGTTAATTTTGTTTATGAGCATCTTAAGTTAAAAAATTTTGAAAAATGTTATGATCGTTTCGAAATGCCAGGTAGTAACAACGATGCGCTCCTTTTTCTCAATCCTATATTAAGTACTACAGAAATGTTCAATGATTACAACAAACTTTACCGCTATTTTTGTCATCAAACGATTGCGAAGATATATATCTATCTTTAAATAATATTACGAAAAGAAGGGGCGATCTGTGTAATATGGGGAAAAAAGTTATTAATATTTTTTAAACGTATAATGACTATTAACGCTGCCAAAATCGGTTGAGTGGATTTTAAATGAGAGATAGTACCCCTTTTAATTTTAGTATACGTGCGATACATTGATGGAAACCTCTACAAAGTGAATATTAATTTGCATTTACCACATGTCGATAGCACATATCGCTTTTAAAATACAAAGGAATAAATACTTTTCCCTTAATTTCCTACCCTCATTACTGGGCCCAGGGATTTTTATCGCACACATAAAAAATACATAAACCTTATTTCCGTTTATGAAAATGAATGTGAAAATTAGCTGACATGAACACCCAATTTTGGAATGATTAGAGAATTAACTTCTATATTCGACTTTTTATATTCAACCTTGCTATGTTTGTGGTAAGTTGAAAATTTTAGCACATATTGTCAACTTGAAGCAACAATATCTAATTTTTTTTTCATATAAAATATGTCATGGACATCATCTCATCTTTGTAAAATATGTTATTTGTATTCACATGTACAGTGTGTTAATTAATTATCGTACCCGACGTCAACATTGCAACTATGCAACTAATATCACAGTATAGGTATTGAAATACACGATTTGCGTATTTGATTGCATACTTGCAATGATGACGTCGGGTACGATAATTAATTAACACACTGTATGGTTTCAACGAGTATTGTTATGCGTGGATCAATAAGTTATTAACCAACTCCACTACCACATACAGAGTTGCGAACCTATGCCAGCCAAATATCGGTAGGTTTAAACATAAAGTCAGAAATTGTTGTTTAATACAAGACGGTTGTATCTAAGAGGACTGCTACGTTCTGGCCCGTTCGTGACGTCACGCATGGGTAGGCAACTACTATATCACACTTTGAATTAGCAAATGCTTAATTTATTCTATTCGTGTTTTGTAATGTTGTTAGTTTGGGAGTTAATAAGGTTCATAATATAAAAGATGATATTAAAACGGTTAGAAACAGGAATGTTTCTAGTTGTAGGTTTAGTTCCAGGTTTATGTTCTACTTTTAGTTCAATAAAAATATACAACAATCTAATTTCTAATTCTAGGTCTAGTGTTAGTACTAGTTTTAGTCCAATGAAAAATATACCACAATCTAACGCTGAATAACAACTAAAACTAGAATTAACACTAGCATTAGAACTAACAGTAGACCTAGAGCTAGAACATTATTATGTTAAACCATCATCTAAAAAACATTGTATAATCGTAATTTAAAGAAGTGTACTATAATAGATTAGATATGTAGAATAAAAAAAAAGCTCATGAAAATCGGTAGATGAAGTCGTATATCGGAAGTCTATCTTCTATATCGGAAGATCTATCGATAAATTGGTTTGGGGGTTGGCAACGCTGACCACATATCAAATGAAGCGAATCCATCAGAGTTAATTGAAGCATCACTAGTCGCCGTTTGCACATATGAACCTTTAGAATTTAGTGTAGTGTACAATCGTATTCTAATTACTTAATTGCACTTGAACAACATGGTTCATATATTAAAATTATATAGCGTAAAGTACAAATACTAAGAGCACTGATTGTATTACGTCTAGATATGAGAATAAGTTGTTTTCGTTAACAAGTATCGTTTTTAAATTTTTTTATTGTATAAAAGAGCGATATAGAATGTATTATTAAAGCAATATTGTTTTTCAGAATGCCTTACATCAATGTAAATTTCTTATTATACTCGTTATTCGAGGCGCTCTAGGAATCTTTACGACCAATGTAATTCTTGGAACGTGATTCGTGGAGCGTTTTCTTTTGAATCATGGACCGTTTTCTATTGTGCAGTGATCTTTTTGTATGCTTGTTATTAAAGAATTTATAACCTACTCAGTTATATCTCACCATTACTATTAGTTGCAAAAAAGATAAGATTTAGTAGCAACCCTTATTAATTTATATTTGATATTTCATTCGATAACCGCAAATAATATGAGCCTCATATTTTATATTTTATTATCGACTGATTAATCCAGACATTTGGAATTTCATTTCGATCTGAAACGAACGATCGAACGCGTTCGTACGCATACAGGCGAGCACACTGTCGGCGATAATTAGGGTTTGAGTGGGTGCGCAGGCACGAAGGCGAAGAAAATTCAATTATTGAACGCGACTTCCTATACGTTTTCGTTTTTTTCTTTATTTGCCATTGTGAACGTTAAGGGGAAAGAAATAAAATGGTACAAAAGAAAAGGTTAACACTATCCATACTATTAAACACTTAAATTGTAAAGAAATAATTACATACTTTCAAATCATAAAAATCCTTATAAAATGGACCTAGGT